GAAGATCTATGTGAAAAGTGTTGTTTTGTAAGGTGAACCATCGGCTAGATATTCATGACCGGCTGTCTGTCTCATAATACGGGCTCCGAAGGGGAAGTTATTCCCTTTAGGGACACTGCTCAAGTGGCCCAGAAGCCATTCCCACCCTGTAACAATTCAATTCATACTGGCTCATGGATGGCAATAGATAAGGCGGTGGTAGCAACACGTGAATGTGGTGGCACGGTGTATGACGCCGAATGTGGGCGGAGAGTAACGCAGGTGTAACACACACACACACACACAAAACCACGCACACATAGACACAAATACACACATACACACACGTGTGCATGTGTGTGTTTTAACCATCTTTGAAGCTGCGATGGGATGGTGGTACACTGATAAGTTTGCTCGGTGGTCCAGTGAGGGGTTAGACTTTTCCAATGAAACTGTGATGAAGCTTAAATTCACCAGAAATATGTTAATTAAGAAAGTGATTTCAAGAGCCAGTAGACATAACATAAGCGAAGGCGGCGCTGTAGTGGTGGGCGGCAAGAGGTGAGTACACAGACAACGAGGGCACCTTCGGTCCCAAGTAGAATAGAATCTACAGAACCCTACTTTCCTACCTCCTAGGCTAGCGAGGAGAGCAGAGGGTCATGCTGCTACCCTCAGCGCGTGCCATGCGACGACGCAACCTGACGCAACATCCCCCGCCCTGGAATCTGGGGGAGGAACATTTGCCGCGCCATGATGAGGGGCCATGGATCTTTGTGCCCACCATGACCGACGTCTCACAACGTATGCCGGTGGCCTGTTCCGTACCCAGGATTTGCTCCATTGCTCCAATCTGCCATACAAGGATCCCATGCCTACCACATCCGCCGTTCACTTAGAGCGGAGGATGTTAGAAGTCTTCTCCACCAATCGAACATGCAAATCTCGGTCTATTGATGACCTAGATGTGGGAACAGGATGCTGATGGCAGCGGCAAGTAAGGTGCCAACGGTACAAAGCATCGGAACGTAGCCGGCAGCAGCCGCGACCAAGGACTCCAAGGACTGCGGCCATCGACCTCCTAAACGACGCCGGCGAGTCGTCCCAGCCACACAGCCAACTTCACACCCCACACTCCGCAACATAGTTGTCCATGCACGCACGATGAAGCCCCCAGCTTGTATTGACAGGCTCCGAGCATTTTGTGATGCATCTTCCTGCTGGCACGTGCCGTCACGGTTATTAAGGTCACGGAAGCAAAGTGCAGCATGTCTATTTGTGTTCGTCGGCGTAAAATACTCAAGTTACCGAAATGTATGTTCGGCGAATCCAACGAATTCGCCGAACACATACTTCGGACGACTGTACAACTCCCTGGATGCTGGCGAAGCTTCAGCTGCAGGTTATTAACATAACCTGCAACTCTGGGCGATGGTATTAAATTTCCCGTTGTGACGTTTTGTCAGGCGGTAAGGGGTCGGCTTAAAGGTAGGTCCCTGACAGATGCCGTGGATTGTCCGGCATCCAAAGCAATGCAACAGATTCAACATGTTGAGCGCATACAAGCCACATAACATAAAACCTGTTTCATGTAAGCGTTCGTTATTGCCTGGCCTTCATAGGTTGAGGTTACGTGGCATTGACCCTGCCTAAGTCACCTCCGGCCGGGACGCAGCGATCCCGGCGCACGCCCGTTTTTTCTATAAGTGAATGAGCTGTGTTGACGTACCAGTACCTTCGTCACCACTCGTTCACAGCTCTGCTCAATTGCTCGAACCCGGACAGCATGGCGTTCATATTCAAGGCGGCAACCGGCCGTCCGCTAGACTCAACCCGTTAGCTGGAGAGTTTGATCCGGGTGCGCTGGCGGAATTCTAGTCCTGGTTAAAAGCCCTAAAGCTTCCACCATCGCTCTGTTGAAATGTTGGCCTGGCACTTACTTTGGCCTGGCTTCGTAACTGTGTGCAGGGCGTAATAATAATGGCTTCAGGCAACAGGTGATGGACTATACGATAGGGGAGGGATATGGCACGGCATATACTGGTGCCTGCTTGTCGCACGCGTCCTATCGTAACATATTATTACTGATCATTCTATCAGGCGGGATCCCAGGGCCGTGGCAGAGGCGGAGGTGGTGACCGTGGAGGATTGTCGACCGCCATGAACCGCAGCGGCCACCAGGGTAGCCAACAGCAGCAGTTTCCGAGCCGGTAGGTTCCCAGCACAGGTGTGCAGAGTTGACAACTTGATAACTTGTTGCGGATAGATGGCCTTGGTCGTGACCCGCGGGGTCCGCACACTGCCTTCTTTGCCTCGTGACTTTTACGTGCATGCCCGGGTGGGCCTTGAGGTTGCGTATCTTCTCCGTGCAGTCATAGCCTCTGGTTCATTTTTTTGCTGTTTGCCGACTTATCGGGCTCCTTCACTAAGCATGCAGCCATTCCGGATGAAACGCAGGCAGCCTTCAGGCGATGCCACTATTCCATCTCCAGCTGCTAGCCCTCCGTCGGCATTAGTGACTGATATCAGCAGCAGCGTCGGAAGTGGCAGTGGCAGTGGCGGAGGTGCCAACGCCAGCTTCGGCGGCGGTACCCCTACCGGTGCTGTGCGCAGCGGCACCGCAGCTACCGGCAGCGGCGGTGGCGGTGGTCGTGGTGGAAGCGTAGCGAATGCCAACCACCTTTTGAATTTCCAGTACGAGTCAGCAGCCGGCCGGTCAGTTGGCGGCAGGGTGAGTTTGCCCGTCGCTCTGCCTGCCTTTCAAAGGGGTCGAGGTCGTCATTTGGTTATTTCTGGGTCTCTTAATATCGAAACCAAGACACAGCACGTGCGCCATCTCACGCCGCCGCTCACGCTGCATGAGCCCACCGCTCCAAGGATGTGAGGCAGTCAGATTCAGGACACGACCAGAGGCCCGTGTCTCAAATCCGGTCCCCTCACATCCAACACGTCCACATTGACATCCATGTGGTACCCCGACTTACCTACTAGCTTATCGCGAGGTTAACGCGTACAATCCCAGGCCCTTCGCGACCGTCCGTCGTCGTTGTTATGTTGTTGGTGGTGTCGCGCGTTACACCCACTCTTTTTATGCACGTACTTGTGAACCTGCGCATGTGTGACCTTTTTTTTGCTCTAGGGAGGGGTTGGCCGAGGGGGGCCCAGGCCAGGAGGAGGTAGTGCAAGAGGAGGACTTGGCGGCGGGGGGCCCGGCGGCAGCGGCGCCTCCAGTGCTTCTTCCACGACTCGGGGCCGTTACGGCAGTGCAAAGCCACAAAAGTACGACAAGAACAAGTTTTTGCAGGTGGGGCATAACCTGCAGGTGGAGTTGGGCGGCGCAAGTAGCGGGTCTGCCATGCGAATTAATGGGTATGGTTGGCTGCCGCAATGTCGCTGCTGCTCTACATCCTTCCCGCTTGTGTCCTCCTTCTCTTCCCCCTCTCCCACTCTTTCCTTGGCAGCAATCACTCGTTCGTGGTTCGTCTTTCCCCCTTCCTCTCTCCCTCTCCCTAACCTTATTAAACCCTCCGACGCCTCAACCCAGTAGGGGTTTTGTGGAAGTAGCGGTGCCGTGCCCAGAACACTTATCATGCCGGTCGCGCTAATCGCTTTGCTTGCCCACCGCCGAACCCTCTTCACTCCTCCTTGACCCCCCTACAGGCCAACTTCCGCTTCCTGGTTTCAGGTGAGAGGGTCCTGCATATGGTTGTATCGTGTCCTGTAGCAGGCACACGGTGGAACGGGGTGGTGTGCGCTCAGACCGGTGGCGCTCCTGTGGGGTGGGGAAGCCAAGGTGTTGTGTCTCGTAGGCTCCCTGGACCTGAGTCGCGGTGAACTTGTTGTGATTGTGATGGTGCAGCGCAGCGATTCTGGTGGCGTGGAGCTGGCGGGGCGATGTGGGTCTCGTTGTTTTGGGTGCTGCTCCGGTGTGTTGTTGGGAGCACTGGAATTGATTGAGGGACCTGAGGACCTGAGGCCGCAGTGATCGGGGGTCTTACACCACGTCTGTGTGGCTGCCCTGGAAGGTCATGTATCGTTCCCCCATCTCCATCGCTCCTCACTGGGCCCCTCTCCTGTCTGCCTGGTCGCCACGCGGGCTCTTCCTCTTCCTCCATCGCTCCATCGCACCCATCTGCTGTCCTGGCTTGGCGTCACCTCATCGCTTTGGGCTCCTGCAGTTTGCATGTCGGAAGTTTGAATTTTTCGATTCTTGCACTTGCGTAATTCCCCTCAATAATGTCTTCCTTTCCGCTCAGACGCTGTGGATGTATCAGCCTACGAGGCCGATGCGGACAAGATGTTCGACTGGGATGACGTCCTGCAGGCGAGTAGGAAGTAAGGGACGAGGCGGAATCTGGGGGCTGAAAGGAAGAAAGAAACCAAAGCTGGGACCGAAGCCAGAACGTGCACGAGCACGCAATAGCTTTTCCTTGGGCAATTAAGCAAAAGATGATGAGAGGCAAGGGCGTTGGCCGTGGAACTGGGGCCCATTGAAGATTCGAACGACATTGAAGTGGACGGCCCGCGGTGAGGGAATTTCACAGCCGCAGGATTTTGGATTCCTCATCCCGTGAAAGCTTCTCTAGTCGCAAGGCAGGAATGGGATGGGGGCCAGGTGGAGTCCTCAAATGTTAAGTAGATGTCAGGCTAGGGGCCTGGGGCCGGGCATGGTGGCAGCGTGCGGGAGAAAAACAATGGGGGAACGGAGACAGGAGGTTGCTCCCGGAGAGGGCGTGAGCCTCTCCCGCCTTTGTCCTTGATGCATACCTTGCAACTCCTCATTTCTCTCCCCTTTAAGAATTAAAGAATTCTGCATTCCTTTCGCCACGAAGAAGGACAACACTCCTCTTTTTCCCCTTGGTCCTGCCCCTGCTGATGCTTTCTCTCTCTTTCCCTCTCTTCTTTCTTTCCCTCCCCCTTGTCCGGTATGGCGGCAGGTGGAGATGTCCACAGCCACCCCGGTGCAGTGCCCCATATCGCTGGACAGCCCCCCGTTATGTCCGCAGGTAAGGGCCGCAAGTGAAGGGAGGAATGATGGTGGGTGCGGCTGGGCATGGGCATATATGGCTGTGTTGAAGCGCCGGGGCAGTTACTATCAATCGTTGGGAAACCACACAGATGTGGTAACAGACCCGCACAGATGTGCACTTCGTTCACGCAGCTGTTTCCTTGATCAAAGGTTTGTTACTGTTTGTTTACCTTCAGCATTTGTTCGCCGCTTCTCCCTCAACCCTATGGGCTCGCTCACCTTGGGTCCCCTCCCACCTCTTGCTCCCGCCTTACAGATCACCCCGTGCGGCCACGTGTTTTCCTTCCCCGCTATTATGCACCACCTCATGAACCACGGAGGAGAGCAGCTCAGGTAATAAGAAGGGGGTTGGGGGTTTTAGGGGAAACCCCGGAGGCTTGGGCCGTTGAGGTTTTGGGTTTTATATAGGTCAGCAGGGAGAGTGTACATGTCTGTATGTATGTCGTGCAAAAAGGCCTACATAACGCTTGTGAGGCCCTCCTCTGCCTGTTCGGTATTTACATGACCGGGTGTAGCCTCCTTTTCCCAGATGCGTTTTGTGGAATTTGTGCGTCTGTTGGTGCGAAGGTTTTCTATGTGTACGTGTTTAACGTGGTTTGCGTTTCTGTCTTGCGTATCCATCAGGCGCTCTGCTCCCTGCCCGCTGTGCTTTGCGCCCGTCGTGGCCCGAGAGCTCCGCCTGGTGCGTGTTCGGCATGTCGTACAACCACGCGCCGGCGACCAGCTGACGCTGGCGCTCATCCGGCGCACCCGGACCAGCATCATTCCGCAACCGGTGGATCCACCGGCGGCAGCCGCTGCTGCTGCTGCTGCCACCACAGCCGCCACCAAGCCGGTGTCCGTGTTTGACCGGAATCCTTTCGCCAAGTTTGTAGTGGGCGGCGAGGCCAGCGATCTGTGGCGCGCGGCTGCTGAGCAACTGGCCGTCTGCGCAACGGAGGTGCGAGGGGGGGTGTTGGGGTTTCAGGTCCGCTGCTTGCTGTGCCGCTTTCCAGCAGTGCGGTAGTTGGCCCTCTTGATCCTCAGGGTCGCGGCACTGGGAGACCGTCTGGATGGGGTCAAGTGTCTGGTGTCAAGTGGTTTACGGGGTTTAAGGGGTCCTCCTTTGGCTTCGCGGATGTGGGCCCCACACCCGCTTGTATGGCCGCGGTTTCCATCCTGTATTGTTTTTACAGATCTGCCCGCGGTCCCCACCTGGCACGGTCCAATGTTGCTCCGAAACCAAGGTCGCGCCAACTCGTTGCGGCCATGCCCCCTAATATGCAGTTGGTCGCGGAAGGCGGCATTGATGCGGCGCTAGAGGCGCCGTATGTGTACGGCGCTCTTGACCAACTGGCTGCGCGTGCGCGGCGCTGGGCCGAGCATCGCGCCGAGTGTCTTGCGGCGCGAGGGTTGCTGGTGTCCAGGGAGGGGCCGGGTGCGGCGCCGGAGGCGCTGGGGGCTGCTGCGGAGGCGGCCGTTAAGAAGGTAGGTGCAGGGCTATACTTTATCCCACACCACACAGGATTAAATTGGGATGGCGTCCTTAGCCGGACGCGTTGCGACTGTTAAAATGGATGGCGCTTACTTCCGATATTGAGTGACAGCTTGGATGACAGATCGATCGACTGAAGCAGCTGTCCCTGCGTTTCGTGCTGCGCGTCGTAATTACTTAAGATAGTGGCCGATCGCTTTTTTGAGTTTCACATCCACTTTGTCTTTTGTCTCGAAGAACTGTCGTTCTGCCCTGTGCTCCTCATGTGTTCTTGCCCTTCTTTCGGCCTCCACAGATGTTCACGGCTGCTGTAGGCGACGCGACAGCTGCACGTGAGGAAGCCGTACTGCGTGCTGAGATGGACCAGCGGTTTCCCTCCCTTGCGCCGCGGCCGCCACCACCACCGGTAGGTGCGGCGAGCACAGGTCCCGGGGGGGAGGTTCCGGCCGCCAGCCCTCGCGCCGCTGCAGCCGGTGCCGTCAAGGCCGGGCCACCCGTCAGCGGCACCGCCGGCACCATAGCTGCGGCGGCTCCTCTGCCTGCCATGACGGCAGCGGCGGCGGCGGCGGAATCGCCGCCGCCGCTATCCCTGCAGGAGCCGCAGCTTACATTCGACGCGGTGTTCTCGGAGGATGAGACGGACGAGCAGGCAGCAGAGGGTGGCAGCAGCGCTGCTGCTGCTGCTGGCCCGCCGCATGCACAGCCTTCCTCCCCAACTGCGCTGGGCTTGGTGACCCCACCTGAATTGATGATGCAAGCCGCACCTGGAAGTGGCAGCCCGCCGTTGGCGGGCGCCCTCGCCATCGGCGGCCCCTCTCCAGCTTCCTCTGCTGGCGCTGAGCTGCTGGGCAGCTCCCCCACCACGCGCCTGAACACACCCGGCACGCAGGGCGAATTCTACACCTACCAGGCCGCTGACGGCAGCTGGGTGTTCCTCAACCCTCTGAACTTGAGGTGCGCGTCCTCTGGTGGCGGTTGCCGTTGCCGTTGTAAGGGCTTTGGAACCGAAATGGAACCGCAACGCGGAGCTACGTGAAGTGGAGAGATACCCAGTAATTCATTGTGTTTCGGATTCCTTGGCCCCGCCCGTGGCCTCCCCCCGTCTTTGACGGACGCCACCCGCCTTTGTGTGGATTTTGTAACCCCCTTGCAATGCCCTAGGAACCCCCTAGGAACCATAGGGGGGTTTTGCGGAGGCGCTATGTTGTGGATGATGTGGGGGCTTTGGGGAGAGGTGCTGCGCGAGCTGTGCAACACCAGCGGCCATTGCTTTTCGTGTTCATCCCTATTTGGGTCGGTTGTGCTATGCGTAGCTCGTTTTGCCTCTTGCCACTCTTGACGAGCCACTGGAGCAGCTACTGAAGCACGCACTCGCTGTGCACCAAATGCTCCTTCTCCTTTATTTTATAAATACCGATGCCGTGCTCTCGTCTGGCACCGATGCCGTACCCTCGCCCCGCGAAAAACGTTTCGCAACACGATTGGCCACACCCGCGGCGGCCCCGCCCCTGTCATCGTCGTCAACAGGTGTTTGCTGCACGCGTACGGTTCGTACGATTCTTGTCCGCCTGTCATCACTGCGCGGCTGCTGGAGTTGGAGGATGTTGTGCAGGCGGAAGCGACCAGGCGCCGCTGGCGCTTCCTGTCGCACCTGCCACTGGCGGGCGCGTTTAAGTTGTGCGAGGTGGCAATGACGGACCTGCTCCCGCAGGAGGCACTTGCGCCGTTTGCCGACGAGCTGGCGGCACGGGAGAAGCGCCGGCGGCGGCAGCGCGCTGATGAGCGCCGGCAGGCGGCGGCGGAGGCCGCGGCAGCTGCGCGTGCAGCGGCGGCGCGGCTGGGGCCAAGCGCTGAGGAGCTGCAGGCGATGCCGTCCCTGAATCAGGCTGTCGGTCTTGGCGCCGGTGGAGCTGCAGCGGCGGCGGCTATTGGTGGCAGCAACGGGGGTGGCGGCAGTGGTAGCGGTTTGATTGCCGCTGCGGGTGCAGCTGCGGCAGCGCTAGCACGAGAGATCCAGCTCTCTCCAACGGAGGTGGCGGAGAGCATTGCGCTGCAGGCCTCCCTAGATGAAGCGGCGGCAGCGACGGCGTCGCCGGGACCGCCTAACGGCGGCGGCAGCGGTGTATCGTTCGCGCACATTACCAAGATGGGTTTCGCCGCCACTGGACCAGCCTTGGGCAGCAGCCCGCCGTCCGGTAGCATCGCGGCTGCGGTGCCGTCAGGTGCATGGGGCGCCAGGTCGACCACCGCCGGCAGTAGCAGTAGCTCCGGAGCCAGCGCTGGCGCGCCTCCTCTGAGCAATCCGTGGGGCGGTGCAACCGCCGCCGCCACCGCTAGCGCCGTATCTTGGGGTCCTTGGGGTGCCGGTAAGGGCGCGGCGACCATCAAGGCAGCCGCCACAGCGGCGGCTGTGGTGGGACCAGGTAAATCCCCTGCTGTCGCACCAGACGGCAGTGGGGAGGGTGCGGCCGCGCCCGGTGGCGGCAGCGCTAAGAAGGGCAAATCAGGAAAAGGTACGCTGCTATTCAGCACGGGCAATCAACGCAAGTACTGACTACTGATTGAGTTGAGGCCGCAGTGCGGATGGCGGTCTGAGGCAATCTGGGGCCGTGCCATGGACCGTCGCGATGCGAGATGGTGCGGGTGCTCGCATTTGAGAGCAGCTCTGGCCCATCACGGATATATATACTCTAGCGACGGGATCCGCCTTGATAGGCCGCTTTCGTCGTTCCTTAGCACTTAGCAGTTAGCACTCTTGTCTCCTTATGCATGAAAGTTTTGCCGCGTAGTGGCCACCACGTCTACTAGCGGGGGTTGAAGGAGGGGCAAGGGCTGCTGCTCCTTAACGGCAGTATTTATCGCGCTTTCGGAGCAACCGCCTAGCCACCTTCCCCCCGGTGGGAAGAGTTCCCGGCGATAAAGAACTGCCTTTGCTGGGCTTCTGCAGCCGGAACTTGAACAGCCGGATTGTATTTTTCAGCATCTGGCTATAGCCGCAATAATATAGCCGCGCGAGGTGAGGAAGGAATTTTGAGGGAGAACATGTGGGTGCAGGGGGGATGGGGATGTATGCACCCTACCAGTGCACAGGGCGGAAGGCCAACGGAGGGGCTCTTAACGTTTCTGTCGTATCTGCGGCGCTAGTCACGGCTCAATGACTGTGGGGCAGAGCTTATGTTGGGTGATGTGTCCGAACACGAACGCGCATTGGTTGGCGGTTGGGCAATTTGTAATGCGGGGGCTTTTACAGGCTCCACGTCCTGGTTTTTCTTAGCTTGTCTGCCTCCACACAGCTGTCCGTGGGCCAACGACGCCTGCGGGAAGAAGGCAGGCCTGTACCTGGAATGGCAGGGTGCTTTCAATGCTACTTTCGACAGTGCTTACACGGATCGTCAGCGGTAAGAAGGTTCCCATTAAGCGCTAGATAAGTATTTTGGTACGTTTACATCTGTCCGCATGTTTTTTGTTCGGCGGACAGGCCGCGCTGCTATTAGCATACATTTTGCTTGTGGGTCCAACGGACTGAGACGTACGGGGGACTGTAAGCGGCTATTAGCCGGTTGAGGCAAGATAAGGTGTGGCAGAGGCAATGGTGAAGTTGTTAAGGGGCCCGGAAGGCGCCGGGTGACAAGTTTTGTTTGTTGTTTTGTCAGGAAATCGGCAGCCCCTCTGTCGGGAAAATTGTACTGGACTATGGAAGGGCTCTCAAGCTTTTTCTATGACGTGTAGCAGCTTGATGCTCTGGTTCCCGGACTCCCGGCGCCTGCAGGGGAGGAGGAGGATATGCACTGCTAAGCACCTAGCGAGAGCAATAAGGGAAGCGGATGTCCCTGGCTGTAGCTGTTTAGCCGTCCCTGAAACGGAGCTATACAGTCACAAGGCATCACAGCACGCGTGGCCTTCCCTGCGGCCTTTTACGTCCGCCTAATTAGGCTGCCAGCCTACGCTGCTGTAGACAACTGTCATCGACAGTATGATATCGAGGTTGAGGCTGGAAACCTGTTGGGGCATAGTCCTGGATTTCTGTGTAACGTGTTTCCGTGCACCGAAGAGGGGCTTGTGTAGTCACAGCCCGGAGCTGAACGCACGCGGGGCTGAGGGCGCCACGCAGTGCTACTGCCGTTGCGAAGCGATCACTCGCATCACCAAATTGAACAGGATTGAATCAGGAGGTGGTGGTATGACAATACGCTGAACTACCTTTTGCCTGTGCATTGCCTGAGTGCATGTTGCAAGAAACTCGCGTGAAAACCTCGCATCGAAATGAAGACGTCATTTACATGAGCGCTCAGCTGCATCATCCCACAGTAGTCCCTGTCCCAACTGCGTTCCAGGCCTAGAGAAAAATAAGCGGCATACAGGCGGCCGCAACGGGTCTTAGCCGGTGGACCCAATCCTGCCCAAATCCTCTCCAATGGGACTGGCATGCCTTGCCTTCTTATCTGCTTCCGTCTCCTGTCCCTCGCAACAAACGTTCTATAGGTGCACAGCGAACTGCACAGCTCGCACACACATGCACTCGCAGACCTACAACAGCTACACACGCATTGCGCCCCATCTAGTCCTGGACGAGCAGAAGGAACGCCATCGCGTCTCATATGATTCCCTCCTGCTGATAGGAAACTGGTAAAGAACCTGGTCGAAAACCTTGCCCAGATGAATTCGAGGTAACTTCCATATTTTCCCACGTAAGACCCACAAGCTCCTACCCCTTTGCTGAGCCGCCTTCGTTCCTGGTACACTCCCTGAACCCTGCCACCCCTTGTCTGAAGAAAACCTACTTCACGCCGATCCTCTCCAGGGAGGCCCTGCGGCGGAATAGCGGCAAGGAAATCCTCAAAGGAACGACACGTCGTCCTCGGATTTCAGAGGCCCCCGCTCCTCCGCATCTGGCTTCTCGTCCGGCAGCTGGTACCGTCGCCCTAGCTGCTTCTCCACCGCCTTCCGCACACGCTCAAAGCTGAGGTTGAGGTCGGGGAAAAGCCCCTCCAGAACGCCGCCTGCCGCGAGGGCCATAAGGACGTCTTCGGAGTACATCTTGTCCTTGCCGTGCCAAGTGGCAAAGTCCGAGGCCGCCGTGACCACCTTGAATGCACGATCGGCGAAGGAGATCTCGGTGCAGAAGCTGCGAGGCTGCAGCCCGTCGCAGACGTGCAGCGCCCACAGCACTTCGTGCCAGGCCCCATATAGGTCGTCAAGCCCCAGCTTCTTAAGGATCTGCGCCGCTGTGCTACTCTCGTATTTCAAGATACCAAGAAGGACCATCCAGGAGTGCACTTCGTAAGTCTCGGACGCACGCGCAAAATTAATGGCATAGCGAATGATGGCGTCGGCCGCTTCGCTCACTCCGACGTCGTCAGCGTCGGCTACCACTTCAGTTGCGACAGCTTGACTGATCAACCGCCCACGATGGTGAGGTTGCTGTCTATGATGGCTATGCGAAGTCTGCCCTGCAGAGCAAACTTCGTGGCCAATCAATGCATTGGGGCTAAACTTGCGCGTAATTCCTACCGCGGAGCATCGGCATAATCTACTTGCACCAACCTTAGGCCTTGCCCCGGATAGTCGTGGGGCAAGGGCTTGCATGGTTGGAAAAACAAACAAGCAGCAGGTGTCAGGCGAGTAGCAAGTAATTCACGTTATACTCTCTGTATACAAGAAATTGAATAACAAACAGATTTGGTATCTGCAAGCATCCAATGAAGCAATGTTTGAGGGGCGCCGTATCCTGGGGTTCCGGTATGCCAAGCAGCAGCTGTTCCGTAGCTCCATACATACGTAAGCTGCAGAGACAACCTGTATATTGCTAACGGAGATAGGGTATCTTTATCACAAGGAGAGTGTTGTTACCAACCTGTTAGGCAGGCATGGGGAAGTCTCGAGGCGGCAAGTACCCCCACAAGGGCAAAGGCTCCCGAAAAGGCCCTGCTGAGGAAGACGGGTCAGACGAGGAGGACTATGAGCACCAGCAGCGCGGCCTCGGTGCGTCTCAGATCGTCGCGGCCAACTGTGACGTGACTGCCTCCATTTGCGATAGCGCATCGCTGCGCCTATTCAGTGCACTATGCTGCATCTATTCGTCTGCAGCGCTGTGCATTATTTATGCTCACCTTGCTCTTGTCACTTCCGGCAAGCTTGGGCCTCCCGGCCACAGCTTGCCGGCTTCAACTGGGGTCATTCTTTCTCCACCCTATATGTGGTTCCGATTCCCATCTGCTGCAGGCGGCCAGCGTGCTAACGTAGGCATGCTGCCCCCGAGCGATAGCGAGGACGACGAGGGTGAGCAGCCTGCCAGCAAGGGGGAGGCATCCTCGTCTCAGCCCAGCGGTCAGAACAAGAACGCTGGCAAGATGCCGCCCAGCGACAGCGAGGGCGATGAGGATGACGATAGCAGTAGTGACGATGACCCGACCCCGGAGTACCTTCGTACGGCACCGACCGCGAGGAAGAAGTACGTGGCCCAGTGAACAGCTGTCATGCGGCGTCTTCCCTTGCTGCTTGCGCGGGTTCTAGCGCGGAAAGCACTTGGCGATGTGCTTGGTACTTGCTAACGAATGTCATGGACTGCCAATTGCGGCTGAAGTTCTGCGATTGTGTTTTTGCCAAAGCTTTAATGAGCACATTACCGGTTTCGCCCGAAGCGGCCAGATTTTTTGCACTGCAGTGTCCATTAGAAGTTGCAGACTGCGTAAGGAGAGCTACTTAGCCTCTTGCTATTTGCCCCGTTGCTACAGCCGCACCAGCTGTCGACGATTCATGTCGGCCTCCCTCCTTGATTGCAGCACTGGCTTGTCTGCTATCTGTTGTATGTTGCCTTCCAGAGACAGTTCCCCTAGGGTAAGCAACAACAAAACATGGTTGGTTGCGATCTAATGGTTTCCGTCCCTTGCCCTGACTGTAGGGAGCCGGTGGTAGAGCCCAGGTCTGAGGAGCAGGTGCGCAAGGATCTGGATCGACTGGAGCTGATCCGCAAAAAACGGTGAGGTAGCTCTTGGCTTTTGTGTGCGGTATCCTCTTCGTTGGGGTGAGTTGTTCTTGTGGTTGTGCACGGCGTCTGTATGGTGGATGAGATAAGCGGCGAGGCACAGGGAGTGGGACCTCAACCTGGAGTTCTGCTTGTAGCTCCGTAACATGGTATGTACTTCAGCGGGTGAATATCGCTGGTCACGACACGGTCATGCAGTAGAACAGCAAATTTGGTGACAACATCACTGCTTGGTGTGTGCTGAAAACCCAAAATGGAACCTAACAGCTGTGAAACCTATTTATCCGTGCAGTGAGGAGGACCGGCTCAAGCGGATAGCGGATGAGGGCTGGGACCGCTTCGCCCCAATTTCGGATACCAACAAGCCGTAAGTATCACTGCCTGCCTGGAGTGTCCCTACCGCTCGTGGCACTGTTAATTTGCACGTTTGACGGACATGCGAACATCACCAACATTGAAGAGATTGTTCACTAATGCGGACATTGACGTAATGCTGCTGCAGGCCGGGATACGTGCCATCCGATCACCCCAGCAAACAAGCCTAGCGGGAATTGTGTACCCGGTGGGACGGCGTCGAGTGTGCGCACAATCATAAGCGTGTATATATTTGCGTGTCTTTCATGTATTGTAACATTATTGGTCAAAAGTTGGCGAGAACCGCAAGAATACAATGTAGATGTGATATGTGTTTTAATTAAACTCAGATACTGGCCATATCATACAGGAATCTATTGTTAAAAACGTTTTGAGCCCATGGCTACGTACGGTTAGATAATTGACATAAAATCGGCGGATCAGACATTGCACGTTCGCTTCGGAGGCTTAACAAAAATGTCTTTCTACATAAAATCTCGTGCTCTAATTTCCTTGTGCACTCAGGACACTGAGAAACCCAAGCGATATCAGCCGCATTGAGTTGGAGAGCCGGCTCCCTGTGCACGGACTGACAGTCCTGGATTTTAGATCAGATCTAGGAAACACACAGGAAGACTCTTCGACTCCGAACCCAAATACCACCCAGAACAACCAAATTCGCCCCAGTCGCATGTGCATAGCGTACATCGGCTGTTTAGCACTGGTATTTTGGTACACAGATTTGCCTCGTTTTGGCGACTTCCATTGTTTTAACCTACACGTAGTCGCTGGGGTTAATTGTCCATTTCTATCCTACTGCCAAAGATAATTGCAGTTTTTCCTTGCTACGTCAGTTAGTTTGTCAGCAGTCCACTGACCAGAGCATGCGTACCAGCAGCCCTGCGGTTGACGGCTAACTGCCCTACCAACATAACTCTCCCTCCATTGACCGTACGCGCAAGCATAACCAACGACCCGCACCACGCCCTGACCTGACAACAGCGATCAAGACTTGCTGAACGAAATCATGCCAGCGCCGGTCACCCTCCGGCCGGCACGGCGCAATTCCACGTCAAATATGTCAAACGCTGTGGGACTGGTCGCATGACGCCTAGCAATGGGATTGCTGTTGCCCCAACAATCCGAAGTAACCCAGATCAAGACAACTACGGTATCGGCCGGCCCTCACTACAGAAATCAAGCTTGCGGGATATGTATGCGTCCGTAGCCGTGACCGCGGCAACCTGTAGATTACCTTAAAGCAATGACGAACTGCATACAATCGCATAGGTTGTACTGTGGCAGGCACGAGCCGACCGGGGGTGGTTAAAACTCTCACTAAGATCTCGCACTCTCTTCACCTGAAACCGTGCCCACATCAGGGGCACCAATGCTCAGGGCTAGCTGCCCATACAGTATATTATCATGAGCTGTGTTATCTTTGATGACGCAAATAAGCAGAGGACCACGATTCGCAACTAGGTCATCGAAGCGCGTTGATCCGCCCTTACCCCAGGCAAAACATGTTAGGATCAAAGCCAGCAGTGTCAGCAGCTGCCTGCACCCTGTACCCCATGCCCACATCGTCCACAGATTACCGCGACAACTAGGTAACCCCGCCCCACCGCTGCAAACAAGTGTAGCTGCACAACCCCAGGCGCCTACGCTGCACGAACAACTGCCCGACCCACATCAAGCGTATGGCCCAACACCGCGCTGTTGCCTGACCTGCCTGGCGCGCCTCAAGGCAGTGCCTGGCTCCTGGCTGTGCAATGTCTAACGTCCACCTGCTCGTCCCTAATGACCCGAGGTAAAACCTAATCCAAGGTCCCCAATTGCGGATATATAGGTGTGTTGAAGGCGTCCTCCTAACAAATGTAAACAAGCCGCTGCGCTGCTGCTCCCTGCTGCCGCTGCTTCATGCCGCGCTGCTGGCTCATGGCACGTACTCAAGCGCCTGCACCAAGTCAGCCCAAATGTCATCCACGTCCTCAATGCCGATGCTGAACCGCACTAGGTTCTCCTTAATGCCAATCTGTGCACGACGTTCCGGCCCGAAACCCCAGTATGACTGGACGGCGGGCATCTCTATCAAGCTCTCCACGCCACCGAGCGACGGTGCAATGTACGGCAGCTTGACATTATCGATGAAGCTGATGCACTCTTGCAGGCCACCGCGCACCTCGAAGCTGACCACGCCACCAAAACCGCTCATCTGGCGCTTCGCAATCGCGTGGTCGGGGTGACTCTCAAGCCCCGGGTACCACACGCGGTCAATTTTAGGGTGTTGCTCCAGTCGCCGCGCGATCTCCATTGCGGACCTGTTATGGCGCTCGACGCGCAGGTCCAACGTCTTGAGGCCGCGAAGCAGCAGGTAGGCCGCGTGAGGATCAACAACACCTCCCATAATGTGGTGGAATTCCCGCACCTTGCCAACGAGTTCGGGCTTGCCGCACAGCGCACCCGCCAGAACATCGTTATGGCCAGCAAGGTACTTTGTAGCTGAGTGCAGGACCAAATCCGCGCCTAAAGCGAGCGCCTGCTGGTTAATGGGGGTCGCGAAGGTGCTGTCGATGCAGACCGCCGCGCCTTTGGCATGGCAGAGTCGCGCGATAGCCGGGATGTCTACGCAGCGCAGGTAGGGATTCGTCGGCGACTCCGAGAAGAACAAGGTCACGTTATGCTGATCCAAAGCCTGTTGAAGAGCAGCGAGATCGTTGGGCTTGATGACGCTGACACCAACGTTCATCTTCGGTAGGAAGTTTTGCATGAACTGCCGGGTGCGCCAATAACAATCAGACGTCGTCACGATATGCCCACCCGACGGAACGAGCGACAGCAACATGCTTGTAACCGCATTCATGCCCGAAGCGGACACCAAACAGTCCTCCGCACCCTCCAGGGCTTTGATCTTTGCTTCGCACGCCTGAGTAGTCGGGTTGCCATACCGACCATACTCGAACGAATCGAAGCGACCCTCGTTGTATTCAATCAGCTCTGCCGTGTTTCGGAAGTGGTACGTTGAAGTTTGCACAATCGGAGTGGTGAGCGCATCTGCTACCCGAGGTCGTCCGGCGCGCTCGCCGCCATGAACTGCTGCAGTGGACAACTTTGAAGGCTTGACTTCATGCTGCAGGGAAGTTCCGTTGCTGCTAGCTGATGTAGCCTCCAAATCCTTTGCTGCCGCCCCGCAAATCACGCCGATGCTGGAAGGCCGCCGCCGGTGGAACGCTGCTTGCCGCAAATGCAGTCCACTGCGCGCGGCTGGCCTTAAGGACGCTGGAATTGGAGCCCGCATGGATACCGTTGCAGGCATATCTGCTGCCGAGACGTGGCAGAGGCCCCTTGCGCCGAACATTTCCTATGTCGGCAAGTATTCAACGGTCTTAGGCACACGGCACGACTTCGTAAATAGCAAGTAAACCTATACCACTTTTAACGTCGCTCTCCACCTTTGATTCGCGGGGCCCAATACGATTTCGGCCAAATGTAGTCAGCCCAGCATGCATTTCCCGAGCAGCGTACAATTTATTTCCTTCAGTACTGCTCCATGGACTCCATAATTTGCTGCTGGCATATTCTAGATAACCAGTACTGAGAGAACCGTGCTAATGTGTAGGTCCACCATTAACTGTGTTTTGCGAGGCACCTTTTGTTAAATGGCAAAGGCATTGCCCTACTAATTAAGCATAATCGATACAGTAGTACATGGTGACTGACCGTGTGTGGACTCAGCCAATGAACCACATCCCTTGCCTCCAGCCCGCAAGCTCTACAGCCCCACAGCCCATATTCCCCGTGCGTTCATACCTGTGTGCTTTGTCCGCGGTAATTCAGTTCTTCGGGCTTTTGTCACAAGTACAGTCTGGTATGTACCATCGCCCGAGAGAGACCCACAAAATGCAAGCGGTCCGTGAAGGACTTTCCGCGAGCATACAATTATTGATTTGCAACGTTGTCAGCGCCGGGACCCGCCCCATAGCTAAGGAATGGAGATTAGGAGGGTCGTAAGACCATGTTACGACCCCAACGGAACACTCGACCGGCGACGGTTCGTGAGGAAGCCCTCATGGGCGTATTGCGCACAAATTCTTGCCACACGCGGGGCTTGAACACTGAACACAAGAGGGCAAAACCCGCTGGGTATTGGCAGGTTGTGACAGGCAGCACTGGCCTATTCCGCCACCTGTCGACCGTTTCTAACCATGCAGACGTGCGGTAAGCATCAAGTGTTGTGACCTTGCCTAGGCCCTCGAGGCTTGCGTCGGATATAAACAAGGAATCTCGGATACAACAAGGGATATCCAGGGAAACCATTAGGGTCCGTAGCGCTGAGCAGCCATGCCAACGTCCGCCATGCCCACTCTGCTCCTGTTAGCCGCGTGATGGGGCCGCGCTCCCTTACACCCCCAGCACATCATCGGCCGGTTGCAAATCAGACGTTTTGTGCCAAGCGAGGTGTAAAGGTCTCGGTAGTACTTGTAATGAGTGACCGTCAAGGTGTTCAGGCCCGGCACGGTATTGTAAGAGCACATGCGCATGCGGCAGCTGGCTGGATACAGGTTTTCGAAAGCATTAACGCCCGGTACGGTCTGCTGCAATGACGTGCGCTCAGGATGCATCAATGCAGCTGTAGTCGTTTAGTCAACTTGTGCATGCCTCAAAGCGTACATGAAAAAACCCCGACCCAGATTCCCCTCTGCTGAGCCAAAAGCCCCTGGCAGGGAAAGCACATGGCTCCAAATTATCATTATCGTGGCAGGACTCTGGTATTCAGCTTATGTCCGGTGCGTTAGCTTGTACATACCGCCACGACGGATACAGAGTTACGCCGACGTAGGTTTACTGAGCAACAGAGACAGGGGGAGGATTTCACTATGCCCGGTAGCCACGAACTACCGGTATGCCAAGCAGCGCCCTTGAACGGCCGGTCCTTCTATCGCCTGCCCGTAATAATAATGATGGCATCAGTTTGGCAACGAGTCTTGGATGGCAAACGAGTCGTGGACACACTACCTTGCGTTCACGCATCGCGAAAGTCACTGTCTACCCCGGTCCATGCCTATTGCAGCTAAGGTGTGCGAAGTTGTATGAATAGGCGCTCAAACTGGTGCCTACCGGTATGATGGATTGCGCATTCGGAATGGCAACTCCGACATCCCCTCTCGATACCCGCAGCTTCAGTGCTGACGAGGTAAGGGTTGGGTTGGGACTTTTCGGATGTGCTGCGGAAGTACTATTTCAGGACCTTTCAGGGCCTATGTTCGTAAATGTTTTCGATCCAAATCCTAATTAAGTTCGTAGCAACGTATGGTTATGGTGTCGTGCCTTAGACAGCCGAGCGAATGCTACAAGCTACAGGCAGGAATATGGCTGTCTGTGGGGATTGGGAACCGATCCTGCAGCCGAATTTGGGAATCTGTAGACCTCTGGCCACGAGCCCAGTGTCCCACGTCCCTTCGCCTCGAGTGCCGACTGTCGAGTCTGTTGGCTGTCCGAGCGGTTGGGGGTGAGCACGACATCGCGGCGGTTTGTGGGCTGACACATACAGCTCAGTGGCCGGCTTTCAGTGAGATCAACGCGTATTTTTCAAATACCTTTTAACGGCTGAAGGGCTTGAATCTTACATCTAAATCCATGGACAGGAGGGGATACACATTGATTGAATATTATGCTAAGCTGGCCTAACGTCCGTTTATCTATTCTAACAGCATTTCAATCTGTTTGATTCAATTGATCAACGCGTCTCGGTCATTATCAAGGCGCGTGGAGTGTTCAATCCTTTTTCTTTGTTCCGAACACTACAGAGGACGTCATTGCTCTTTCCACTATTAAGTCCCTTGACGTATCGATAGATTGCACTACGGGCGCCAGCGCTTGCTTCTAACGAAGACTGCCGCCGCCGCGGAACTCGACTGAGCAGGCATGGCGCGGAGCCAACCTATCCTTTTCGAAGATGTATTTGACGTTGTTGATAAGGACCCTGATGGCAAGAAATTCGACAGCGGTATGTGTTCCGTCACCCCCGTTTGCGTACCCGGCGTCCCACGGCGTCAACCCGAGCGCCCTCCCTGTGCCCAAATGCCACTCGCAGTGTCCCGCTTCATCTGCCATAGCGATCTGTACGAGATGGATCTTCACATTGACTTAAACGTGGAACTGTTCCCACTTCAAGTAAGAACCTCGTACCCCGTCCCCATCCGCTCTATAACAGCAGCCCGCGCGTCCTGGCTCAATGTGTCCGGCCAAGCGAAGCCTGCCCGGCTCCTTCATCGTTCCGCGAAAGCTAAGCGGGGCAAGAGTGTTACGATAAACCCACGTTAGGGCGGACTTCTGGGGCGGGGCCTCAACAGTCCCCTTTTCCTGCATGAGAAAGGTGACCCTTTACAAAACAGCTATGTGAGGATATGTCCATCTGTACACACAGCGCGTGTTGCGCTGTGCACGGCTAGCTTCACTGATAGCCCTGTGCGCACATCTGTGCTGCTCGGGAGACATGTTTCATCACGGCTTGGCTCCGAAATAGCTCCGAAATTCGGTCAAATATTCTATCGGGCAATATGGTCACGTAGTCTCCACAGCTTAACATCGGCGGTGAGGGGCCGGGATGCGATTGCACCAAAATTTTGTCCGCTCGGCAATTGACTATTGTGTCCTGCTCGCGATGTGTTTTGGGAGAAGCAGCACAAGCAACGTGCGTGGACCCATCCTAATGCACGAGAGTGCCTCCCCATCCGCCCCATTGCGATCGCTGCTGTGCAGCGAAACGATAAGTTCAGCCTGGTTCTCGCGTGGACGCTCAACTTGGATGCGACGCCGGGGAGCGAAAAGTACGATGCGGTAGGTTTGGAACGCCGTTGTTTGCACATGCATGTTGCCGTACTTGTTGCCGTACTCAGCGCAGCTGTCTGTCTTGAGGGCTGAACTCTGGGTTGAAGTCGTCCTCAGTTCGGGCGACAAACAAACAAAACCCAAACAGAAAAGCAAAACAAAAAAGTCATTAAGGCCCTCCCGCGCCTCCGTAACTACCATCCGCAACTACCTGGATGTCTGGCTTCGAAGGCCGGCTGTACGGCGTTCACAGCCAGTCCGATCGATCACACGGCCGTACTGTTGTTCTTCCGGGTCGGCGGCGGATGCGGGTGCTGCTGGAAGAGAAACATGGTTAAAGCAGCTGGGCTGTGTTACGGTGTTACTCCTTTCCTGTCATCTACGGCCCTAGGGAGACTAAGTAGCGACTAGGAGCCCCATCGCGCGATGTGCACACCACACCCCTGCATGTCCACCTCGACCACCTGGTAGCCTTTCCCCAACAACCAGGAAGCAACGCCTTTTCCTGCCGCTATCTGTACGACGCTCTCCCATCCTAAGCCATCCTGAGTATGTGCTCATGCTCATGGTTAACTTAAACTTTGGTGTTTTGTGGCAGCTGCCCTGACGGCAGCTAGGTCACGCGTGTGCCGAAACACATGGAGCCCACTTACCCCCAACCTTCCCCCCGTGGAGCCCACTCTCTAGGTTTTCGTCGAGGTGTTGTTTTTTCTCTGTACGACATACATGCCAAGCCCGCTTGCTTCCCTGCGCACCGCGACTTCTTTCCACCCTTGAAATACCGTCATCATTATCACTGCACAACGCCATACAGGAGTTCCCGGCCATCAGCGGGCGCCGTACTCTCATGGACAATTACGATTACGTGATGTACGGCAAAGTGTTCAAGTACAAGGACAACAACATGAAGGTAGGGCTCTGGGGCCGGGCAAGCCGCCCGTTTGTGTCGGTGTGTGTGTGTGTGTGTCTCCATCTGCACACAAGCCTGCGCCTGCCTGCCCACTCGCCTATTTGTCCACCGGCCTATCTGCTTACGTCATCAGTTGAGTTGCCTCTGGCTTTACAGGGGCCGACACGCAGTTTACTCTTTTCCCCCTCACACCCACGTCACCGTCAACCACACTGGTTGGCACGGTGTTCATTATTGTCCATTCGGCCGCAACCGCGACCCCGACCGCCGCACGCCACACACCAGGTTGAAGTGTACATCTCCTTCGGGGGTCTGTTGATGAAGCTCGCGGGCGACCCTGCCAAGCTGGAACCGATTGAGGTGGACAGCAACGTTTACTTGCTGCTCAAAAAACTATAACTACAGCTGCGACGTGCACTGCTGCTGTACATGTGTACGACAAGGATGTGCCAAGTGCCCTGGACGGGCGATAACCGCGGCAGGCGATACTGTGACGCGCGGCCCTGCGGATGCTCCAACGGAGCTGCGGTGACGGCGGCGCGCATAAAAGTTGATAAGAGTGTGTGCGGAATCAGCAGCTTCAAAAGCAGCCTGAACGTCTCCTCCTCCAGCATTGGATTGCGCTGAGAGCTGGACACGGCCCGGAGCGTAAGACACTGAGGGTCATGGCGCTGTGGGAAAAAGGTGACTGTGACTGTAGAGTGACAGGCGGAAGAACCAGGAGGAGAGAGAAGCTTCGAACCGACAGCTTCGACCCCTTGCACCTTCAAACCTAGACATGGTACAGGAAATGCCCTGGCAGAAGCTAGCTAGCCTCATGTGTCAGCAGCAAGGACACATATCCTGTCCTGTCCGCTTATTACGGTTGATTTCCGGCAGCGGAGTGGTGTCCGCTTGTGTATCTGTAACACATATATCCGCTTCCCTTCACTTATCCGGTGTGGTAGTCGCTGTTGGTGGTAATATCCACGGCTGCCGTGGCGCGGTATGCAACCGTTCCAACGGTTCCAACGGTTACATACCGCGCCACGGCAGCGGTCAACCAGATCGCATGATCGGCTGTGCATAGGGCTGCTGGGTGGGGCCGCGGGGAGGTCTGTGTGGACGGGCGTTGATTGCAGCTAGTGCGCCGCACGATCGGTGGCTGCTGCATGGGGCCGGGCCCGGGGAATGGCGTTTGCTTCAGATAGTGGACTTATGGCCAATGGATATGATGGTGATGTACGGCTTCGAATGCCGACAGAGAAACGCGATCTGAATCTCGCTGACACGTAAAAGATATCTCAACACATTTAAAAACGTACATTAGCAGCGGATCGGTCATGTGTTTGGATGGTTCCCGGCGTGACACGGGTTTCACAGGCTTATTGCTTACACCGCGCATCTCGGTCATCGCACGCGCGTTGGTTGTTACACACCCAGTCAGCATACAGCTTGCTCGCTCCTTTTAGTTGGCTATCTCTTGAGGAATGTATGTATGATGTGTGAAACAGGGGGGTGTATCTTCGCCCGTGGCAGCTACCCTGCGAAACCCTGCCTTCCCCGGTATTTCGGGGCACCCTCATCCAGTCACCCTAGTCAACTTCTCAGTGGATCGCTCAGGTTCCGCACCCACCACCAGCATCCAACGGAAACTGCCGGGTCGACAGCGGCCCAACTCTGTTCCTGGTCGGCTCGCGGGTTAACTTTCTCCCAGGTCACCACCGTCCATCAACTAGGGGCGCAATGCCTTCCACCTTCGGAAGGACTTATTACCCTAACGGGTATCGATCCCGGGATCTCCCGGGGGCAATGGTCGCGCCTTACCAGTGGTGCCAAACCCTTATGTACGTATGTGTGTATGTATACATAAGAAACATGATAAGCATGCAGCCATGTATGGCTGAACGTGGCTTGAGACCCTATACATCATCAACAGTTCGTCATCATCAACCTGAGCAGCTGCACGATTACCGATGTGCATGTGGTGCTAGTCAGCCTTGCTCGTGCATTATGTCGTAAGTAAATACGTGAGTGAGATACGATGTGCGACTGCTGGCACAGCAAGGTAGAGCAGCACTTTACAAAGCGCTAATTCAACCACGGTTCGTGTTTTTCTTTGGTGGTGGCCGGGCCTTCTTGGTCTTGGGCGGGGGGCTCTTGGCCTTGGTTGGCGGCTTCTTAAGCTTGTGCGCGGGGGGCGGAGATGGGCTGGGCTTCTTGGCCGGGCCGCCCCCAGACGTCGCTTGCTGGGCGGGCGGCGGCTGCGTGACTTGCTTTTTTGGCGGTGGGGATGGAGGAGGCGGTGAAGGCCGCAGGGCGGGGTTGCAGTCTGGGTCATCCATATCCACAAGTCCATCGCTGCAGTGAGTGTGCACAAGGGGGGAAAGGAAGCAAACACACACGGGCAGCAAAATGCCACAAGCCACAAAAAAGCCGTCAAGAAGCACGCAAGTAGTGTCTATCAAAAGTTTACGATAAGCTCAGAACCAATCTGTAATATGGGTGGTGAAGAATCCACAGTGAGATGCTTTGCAAAATGCTAAACCAATCAATCAATAGTACACGCAACCCTACGAGCGCCTGCTCACTGCACATCAACTCCATATTTACGCGCAACATGCACTCACCAATCATTGTCCAGACCATCTGAACAGCTGCTTCCTGACTCGTTGGTCCTTAGGAAGCGGCACACTGTTACTGTGGCCGCCTTGGCCGTCTTGCTCTTCACCCGGACGGTGACACCGCCCAGTGTCGTCGACAGGACTTGTGTAAAGCTATCCTTGCCTGCCTTATTGTCCAGCTTCGCCAACAAGAGCGAGTGGCGGACGCCAGGCATGCCGTTGGCGGTCTCATTGAATTCGTGGACCCTGAAGTTCGTGAGGGCGGGGGCCCACCGCGGGGTTGGGGTGGGGTTACAGAGTTAGGGAACGCGCAAACAACATTCTCAATGAAAGCACCCGGCTGGCAAGTTAGTTCATGTTTGCAGTAATGAGTGCAGCAGCGCTCCCGCACGGTAAACCTCCACTACAATGGAGAGGTGCTTAGTTCTCACTAAAAATGTAGCTGTTCATCAACTTGTGTCGTCCAGCCAGCAGCTACTCAGAATGACTATTAAAAAATATGACCGTGTGCCTTTTATATAATACTCCTTCACGAGCAAGAAATCGGTAATAGTAGCTGTTTCATGCTGCTTATTGGGGACTGACTTACCAGACGTAGTTGTTCAGGTCAAAGTAAATGTTGTTGTCCCTCCCCAGCCCGGAGTCGTACGAGGCCGGATCAGTTCCACGAATCCTGCACGCCGCGGCGGGATGAGCACCAGCAGGAGGACCCAGCATGGGGCGCATCGAGTGCATGGACCAGGATGGCACCAGCATGGAGCGCATTCCTTGTTACTTGCAATGCGCGCCTAAGCAAGATAGGCGTAGATAGATCGATCAGCAATTACGTTGAATAAGCATCACGTGTCATCGCACCTGAAGGACACGAACAAAGCTCGCTGCGCCTCCCGGCGCGTGGTGGTGGCGCTGCCATTCAGAGCGGTATTCGCTGCGTCGGTAATAATCCGCAGCATGTTCTCGCTACCCAGCGACATGGAGGGAAGGGTGAATGTCTTGGCGATGCCTGGTGGCAGATCGCGGCCAGCGGCGATGTGGCCGCCTGGAATGGGCGACGCCCAGCCGGCCTTGTATGCCTGGGAGTTAGACACGGTTCGAAGCGTGAGAATGCAGCAGAGGGAGCTATGCCATACATATGCCTTGCTGAAGAAAGCGCAGGTGCGTGACTCTGTTATACATAAATCGTTGGCGCTTTTGGTTAAAAACCCCTCAGCTGGAGATCGATGCAGTGCATCGACACTTTCTCAGTAAGGAGTTTGTACGGCCTTATCTGTACGGCCGTTGTGTAATTCTGAGTACGAACTACCGATGGTACACCTAGACAACGAGCCTTGCGAATGGCACATAAAGGAATATACATGGCTGCCTAGATAGCTAGCGTAGTTTTTTTGTTTACATACTTGCGGGGCACTCATGCACACGAGGTTCTTCTCCAGGTCGTACGGAGCTCCGAGACCCATGGGATCGGTCAGGTCACCGTACTCCACCACCTTGCATCTCGGGTCGGTACAGTCAAAGGCGGCGGCGTGAGTCAGGCCGATGTTGTGACCTGCAGGCGGGCCGTCAGGGCGAGGGGTGATGATCGATGAGCAAGTGATGGATGAGCGGGGCGGATGGTAAAAAAAATAAAGTGGCCCTTTGGCGCCTGCAGGGATGGAAAGAAGTCCATGCCGCTGTATGTATGTCCGCCCATCTGCGAGGCTTCCGACCGTTTCGTGAACGTCGGTTGCACGATAGCTCGTTGCGGATATAGGGGGACTTTAGGAAGGCAGCGAATCGGCAAAAGCAAGGTGCTTTTTGGATGCACGCGTGACTGGGGCAGAATGAAGGGCCCTTGATGAGTTCCGCATCCCTAGGAAAGTACAGATGAAGCAGCGGGTGGCGTAAGCCAGCACCTTCAAGCGTGTATACAACGGGATTTGTGCATACGGATTTGTGCTCGGGATTTTAGAACGCCCGCAAAAAATTAAATATTAACATGATTAACGAATGCTAATGAAGTACATTATGATGCAGGTATGTATAAAATCCGCCTGCCGACTTCTCGGGTGTTTGAGAAGTGTGGAAATGGGAGGTGGGCCCCCATCTTATGGACGGTGTAGGACGTGATAATATCAACTTGCGAGCTGACCAGGTACTAAGTTGAGGCGCCGTCGATCCGCTAGATTTGGTTGGATGCTGGTGGTGAGTTGCTGAACCCAACGAATACATTCTGAAGTCGGATGGGGTGAACGGATTAGGGTGCCCCTTTAGCAGGGGAGAGCAGGGAACTGCCTCAGGAAAGGGGGCCGCTGGTGAAGCTTAACCACTCCGTAACGACATACATACACGCTAGATCAGGTCGCAACCTTCGAATTACACGATCCTGATGGAAAAACTTCATTGGACTATGCATGTATCGATGACACGCGATTTGGATTTTGGATCCTGATTTCGTATTCATCACGGGCTGTGTAACTTCACACATGAACTCGCATAATGTTCAGCAGTACAACCAACTACCAGTCAGCACCGAAACCTCGCCGCCCATCTCTTGGTGGGTGGTCATACCCTCAGTACGTACCCAGTTCATGGAACACAAGTGGCACGGTGACTTGTTCAGTGGCCAGTCCGTACGGAGCTGAATTAATGAATGCAAAGCAGTTGCCGTTTGACACACATCCATGCGAGGCCTGCATGCGGAAAAGCCGAAGAGGATTACGGAGCAAGTGACTGGGAGGTGAACAGCGGTGAACACATGCGCACAGCATCGGGGTTGGTTTTCCTATTTTCTCAAGCACGCATTTTCAGTTCACCGTTCAGATCAAGTAAAGTGGTTGTTGACCCGTGCGCTGAAACGAAGCTGGGGGTGGTGGATACGCACCCGCCCAATAAAATCAGCGTTGTAGACCCTCTTCCAGCCGAAGGGGAAGATGTATATCTTCCTGCGGTACTGCTTCCATGTCCGGTAGGCATCTCTGTCGTTCTCCTACATCCAGAAGCAGGGAACCGAGGCGGATTAGAAGATGTGTAGATTTGAAAAAGAATAAGTCCTGGCGGCGTCGCCAGGTCAGGTGTCGATACAAACAGCATCAAAACGGCGAGCAAGATGTCATGAGAACTCTGCAGGTCCCGGTGAAATTGAATGAGACCAAGAAGGAGGAATTGCACAAGGGAGGAAAGCAGTGCCTAAGGCCTGCTGCGCATTGCACGTCCTTGCTTGCACTCGTGCACGCAAAAACACGTTGTCGTACCCTCAAGTAGTCCTTGGCAAGGTCGACCAGCGCCATCAGGCCGTCCAACATGCCGATGTTTCCCGTGCCATCCTCAAGGTCGTATGCTATGCCGCCGCGCAGCGTGCCCTTGCACGGAATGTCGACATCATAAATGTTGTTGTTAATCGGCGTGAACGTGAGCCGGCCGTACGTGCAAGCCTGTGGGAAGCAAGTTGAATGGGATGGATACACGCCGTTGCCAACAGCAGGTCTCTACTGATGCCAAGGGAGGTTGCAAAGAGGTCATCCGGCACAAACGCGAAAGATGTCGCGGAATGCTACGCGCGCACGCTGATTGTGAATGGAAAAGTTGTCACCAATTGCCGTGCACACTGAATAAGGCCCGCGACCGACCACGCCCGACGGCTTATACACAGCTTCCTTCCCACACATATCGTGTCTTACAACAACAATTTTTAGCCTAGTAAGGCGGATTGCGTTGTGATAAACGCAGTCCATGGTTGCCTTGCCTTGCCTGGCCTTGCCTGGCCTTGCCTGGGAGCGCCAGCTCAACAATTTGGAAAAAGGATAACCCGGACCGCCTTTCCGGAAACCCCTTCCCCAAAATGCTCGTGTAAAAGCAGGTTTCACATCCTTTTTTTCAATCACTTATTTCAAATCACCAAGTTGTGTCCTCTAATACGGTGAATTCCTTTGCTTAGCGGTGTTTCCGGCATGTAGGCAAGTTGTCTGTAGTCCCCAAAATCAAAACACATCGTTAGCCTACGCTTTATTTCGTGGAGAACCTTGATCTTGAATCAGGATTGCCATCTCACACCCGCGCATCTTGCACATGAAATGGATCGGAGGCAACATTTCCGCCAGCAAAGATTCAGCCATACAGAATGGGGCCCGAAATTTCGAAGGAAAAAAAGCATTTGCTGCAGCTGGTTATCGATGCGGATGAGCGAGGGTGTTTCAATCATCCCACAAATAGTCGCAGCCCAGCACCCCAGTGCTGACTTACGCTGTGGTACCGCTGAAGGGTCGCGGTGACTTTGGGGTTTAGGCTCTCCTCGTTGAACCAGTACTTCCGCACAACACTGGAGTTAATGGATGGATATAAGCCGCATGATGTACTCCTGAACACGAACGTCAGTGAGCTGACGTCCAGGGACGCACCATTTGTGACGAAAAGGTCCTGTACATGTGGCAGATCAAATTCAGGGCATTAAAACATCATCGAGTAAACCCGCTCGGGGCGACACAACTCCCGGGCCACCTCGGGCGTGCAAGGCGTTACTTGCAAGCACTATGCACGCGCCGGTCGTGCGTGGCTCGGCTCTTGCAGGCACGGCTGTGTGCAGCTAGCTACAGCATGATAGTCATTGAGCCAGATGCGTGATGCGCGCAATGTATGTATATATGTAATAAATGCATATACATATACATATATACACATGTACATATATACGTATATGCATGTATGTATATGTGTTTTATTTATATTTATATATGTTTTATTATAAAGAAGCAGGCATTACTTCAAACCATGTACTCTTATTTTGTAATCCGCCACTCGGCAAAAGCGAGTTTAGGTGGTCACCGCCATCCCGGGTGTGTTTGGGCTGCTGATGTGCGTCTGAAGGTTTTGATCGCTTATAGATCATGCCATGGTTCATTAGGTAAGGACCCTTCCAATCTCTTAAACCAGCAGGGTGGGATCTAAAGGCGACCAAATTTTCAGACATAAACATTTTTCAGACGTTACCCAAGCAAGGTAGGAAGTGGGACCAAATATTGGCTTATATATGCCCCCACCCCTGGAAGTCGAGTGCAGGCTGCAGGGCCTCATCATCTCTATCCATTTAGCAAGCAGGGCACATGCACTTCTGTATGCAGGGCTGTATGAAACGGACTAGCATGGCTACGTATAGTATGTACATAGAAGGATACCGGGCCTAGCAGTTATTACGCGACACCTACTGGCACCTTCCCACGTATTGTGTCGAGGAGAATGTTTTGCGCTTGCCGCACCTTGCTGTCCTCCTTACTGACTAACACAGGGTTTTCAGCCTTGGGTTTGGAAGAGAGGGATATGCTGCTTAGGACACCGAGAACGTTGGTTAGGCTGATGAACTCCTGCAGTGAACGTTTGGTGTTGTGGAAATCCAGCACCATGCGTCGAGCCTTCTCGTGCTCCTCGCTCAGCAACCGGCGGCCGTTGCTGCTATCGGAAAAGCCTGTGTGATGTGGGCGGATTTTTGACAAAGCGGTCAGGTGCAAGCGTGCACGGTGCATCGTGCAGGATGCGAACGCATTGATGATGCGCGCCGCTAGCCGCACGAGGGAATAGGAAGCCCACGCTCGAAGACTCTAAATGTTCGCCTGGCACGGGCGTCTATAAACGTTAGCAGTGATAGAGTCGTCACATAAATAAGTAGCGCAGGATTAATAGACGCGTGCACGTGACGGTTAACAACTCCGAGTCCTCTCCGTTTCCCGGCAAGCCCACCTCTAGGAGAGGATACGAACCAGAGAAGTCGTTTCCTAGTCGTACAGCCTGGGCAGATCCGCTTTCAAGAACTTACAGGCGCTAGCTATGCATAATCCTTGTCACGGCGGGACATCACGGCTATAGATAGTCCATAGTTCTCACAGCAGGTTTATTACATCCCATTAAAGTGAAGCAACCTATGCTGACGACCAAATGATAAATCAGCCAACTCTGTTAACATAAATTTGGAAAGGATTGTCAATCGATGCACCCGCGCAGATCCCATGTATACTATAAATGGACCAAAGCCGGACCGAAGCCGGACCGAGGCCGCGCAAAATTGACAACAGGGCCACGTCGTTCTATCTGCACAAATCTGCAGGTATTCAAATTATAATAATTAGGTACGCTCCATTGGATACGGGGGATTTGGCACCAAGAAAGACAAGGAAAGACAGATCTCCCTGGGGAGCGGAGTTCGCTGACCGACCCAGCCTTGACACCCCCAGGCTGGATGCCGCAGCCCAGTCTCCCCAAAGGAACCAACCAAGGCGACGCACCGAAGCCAAGCTCGGACGCCTGTTCGGCCGTCAATGTCAGTGTGAGGGCTGTCTGGACGATATCGCCGGTCGTCAGAGAGGCGCCCTCTTCCTCCCCAAACGCCACAGGGACCTCATTCGGCGGTTCATCGTTGACGGCCTTATCAACTAGCGTGTAAGTGTATTCGGGCTGGATGGGCGGGGCCGGTCCAATTTCCCCGTCCAGCGTGAATACAGAATCGGCGTAAACTTGAACCATACCTGCGAAGGTGGAAGGCAAAGTCATTCGTTCCTATATGCTAGCTAACCCTGAATTGCATGGTAATTTGATTAACTTGAGGGACTGGATTGCTAATTACTGCTGGCCGCTGGGGCTTTTGTGCTGCGGATTGGCGCTATAAAATGTGAAGCGTCTATAGGTCGTGCCCTGGTATATTGGATGGGGATGATCCATGATACAAGGGACGGATCTATAGACTGTACGTAAAATTACAGACGCTACGGAAATTAGGACATCCGCCTGCTATTCGACGTTACAGATAGAGCCATGGTTGATCCACCCAGGTGGCATTTACCTTCCACAAAAACCGTCACATTGAGGTTATCCCCGCCATCGGGTGCCGATTGGGACAGCGCGTCTGCAACCGGTCAAGGTCAACCAAGCCGTCAGGGACAACGGCAATTTCAGGTATCAAGCGATTTCACATCACAAAGTTTTACCAACGCGTAGTACAGCCAGCTTAAAGATGTAATATTTTCTTGTCCTACAAACTCTCTTGTGTCAAGCGAGAGTGAGGTTGGATACGTTTTCCAGGACGGCAGTTATTAAGCAGAGCCTGGCTTGTTGGCGGGTCCAGCAGCTGACAACAGAAGCCGGAAGCGTAATAATTCCGGAGTTTTTAGGAACCATTTTGCTTACGTGGGATAACAGCGCACACAGCTGCCAGTAGGGCCGCCAGAAGCAGCCTTTTCGACGCCATGGCTCCGTTGAGTACCGAAAGGCCGCACTTGCTCGAGCGCCGGCCAGATGCACAGGTATTTACAAATATAGAATGCACAGGTAAATTGTTAAGACTCTATGAAGGCTTTGTATGATTGCGCTGTCGATTCGTCATCACCTTGCATTGCCCTTCCGTACAGCCAAGCCGCTTCGCGTTCTTGGCGTTAACTTGGCAATAATGACACTGCTGTCTTCACGCAAGTTAAATTTTCGCATTAAGCGATCTAATTTATTTCTGGAGTCACTAGGTTAAGTTATTGTTCGTTTACAATGAAACGAATGGTGGACGTCTTTGGACTCGCTCGCTCGCTCGCTGTTGCTTGGCGTGCCGCGACGGTCTGTTTTCTGAGCCCCGTGAAGATCAAAGGAAATCTGTGCCGCTTCATTACCGTTTTACGAACTCCTGTGCGATTTTGATGTCACGTTGCTCTTCCTTTTCGAAGCCTAGTATTGTCGCTAGCTAACTGCTGCCCTACGAATCCTCAATGGGGACCAATCCTCAGCGACCCCCTGTTTCCGGCCTTATTCAAGCAACGCTAGATATTTAAAAGAATGTAGGCTACGTACGAAATGGCTTCCACTTTTGAGCGATTGCAACAGGAAGCGGAGTCCTCCTGGTGTGTGTCAATGACTAGGGAGGGACATTGTAATAACATAATAAACTAGTATAATCTAGTCATTGCCCTTAGTTGCGAGCTTGAACCAAAGTCGGCCAGAATGAAGCACTGTATGCATAATACGATGAAGGACGTCTTTTGTGCTTATTTGTGCATAAACGTACGTCCTAGCTGCTGCATACTCGGCTGCGAAGATCGATAGACGAACACGGCAAATTCTTGCTTGCCACTTGCATATGCGCACTAGCTAGAAAATATAGGAGCACATTATGTTAAGAAGCAAGGTAGGTGTATAACGCTGAGCAGAAATGATGGCCTGCGTGCATGGAAAGTAGAGGAGACGCTTTATCCCATTTCGTTTGATCACCTATTACTCAGCTCACTACCTGGGAAGTAGCTATTCTGGGAAGAGCACTAGGAGGTGACATGACAAGTGGTGGTATGCTGGTTGGTCCCTTCGCGTTTTAGGAAAAAAACTCTCTGGAAATATCTGTGTGTGTGTGTTACATGGTTGGGGGTGCGTGACCCCAGACCTGTAAGACTACCCATACGAGCCGAAGGCCCAAGGGCAATACTACAACGCCTAAAAGCCACGGAGGATAGGAAAACACCGCACATCAGCCCAGACTAGCGTCCAAAGGGGGTAATTGAGTTTCGGTGAGCCCACATACGTTCCAACATCCTCGCCAGACGTGCTGGTTCCCATTTCATGGCCTCCAACATGCTCTGTTGATGGTCGAATCCCTCTTCAGCACGAATATCATTATAGGCTGGGCATTCCAATAACACGTGTTTTTCATCCTCGATTCCGCTATTAGTACCACAACAGCGGCAAAACCGCTGCCCCCTGGGGGCATGGTACTTGCCTCTTCGTGCTCTGTTTGCCTCCAGAGCCCAGCAACATAAACGGAACTGGATTAGCTTACGATGTGCTAAACGAGGAATGAAAACCGTAGCATATGTTGGCCACATGACGGCTGCGGCTTCCGAAAAGGGCAGCCCCATCCAGTGCTTATACTTCGCCATTTGCACTCCCGGTTGCTTCCCATCGATGGGTAATCCTCTGGAATATCTAACAAGAAACGTCTGACTTGCATGCAACCTAGCTCCCTAGCTGGGCAACAGCTGGCATCCGATGCAACCTGCTGCTGTGTACATGTGTGTATGTTGGGCGAGCTTGCTTTATCGCTGTTCTGCATGTCACACACACACACACACACACACACACACATGTACGAACACAGTCCCCCGCGAAAGGATAGGTATCCACAAATGCACGAGATTAACTAGTAAAATATACGGGCATGTTATTAATATTAGGCATGTGGTCATTAGGATCAAATTGATTGGCCCGGGGTGGAGTCATCGATGGCATGCTTAGTAAACGTTCTGATCTACTAGAGTCCACTGGCACAGTAGCTGCACCCAATCGCCCGCATCGGCTCACTGATGCTTTGAAATATCAGCCAGTTAAAAAGGAAAACGAAGTAGTATACAGGTGCTTGCGACAAGATGTCTGGTGTTGACTAGTGGCATGGTAGTGGCGGGCACGAAGCTCGATGTGGGGCATTACTTGCTGTGCCAAAGACATTATTGCACGTCATCCGTGGCCACGGCGGTGGGGCTCAACGACTATGCCCCCGGCGCATCGGCCGTCGGTCGCATCCCTTTGTGCCGCGTTCTCCCGCCCTCTCGCCCTCCCTCCCTCCTCCTTTTAAGAGGCCGCTGTGTCCATCGTGTCCATCACACGCTATACCCTCAAATCAGTGATTTTTTTTTTCATTTAGGGGGGGTCTCAATTTATTCCAACCTAAGTAACAAAGTTGCTAGCGTCGCCGTTATGTATTCCTTAAGAGTGGGGCGCTGGGGGGGGCTACGCCCCCCCCAGACCCCCCCCAGACCCCCCCCGATAAGTTACAACTCCCCTCATAGACCAAGAGGCACACACTGCGTTGGCGCGTTTTCGTTCATGTGCGCACGCTTCATGCACATGCATAGATAGTTCTGGCACTGTTTGTGAACAAAAAGTAAATCCGACCAAGCAAAGGCCCAAAGCAAGCAACCGCATAGCAAATCAAAGGCCGTCACCCGCCATTGCAAACCACAGCACACTGGGACTCTACCGGTTCATCATGTACCGGCCCCTGCTGCTGCTGTCCAGCCACTCCCTCAGTGCGTCACGGAACGGGAACGTGCCCAGGTCGAACAGGTCCTGGGTAAACATCTGCACACACAATGCTAGGTGCTCGTCCAGGCGGTTGCGGGTGGGGTCCTGCAAGTACCCCATGGCCGAGAACCGCCGCTCATCCTCCACCGACCCTGGCTTGGTCGTGCACTTCTCCGGCGTCCACGTCAGCATGCACAGGCTGGGCCCAGGGATACCTGGCGGCCCAGGCAATCTGCCATCTGTGGGGATTTTCCTTCTGCTTGTCCCGCCATGCACCGTCGCTCATGCCCTTGCGGATGCGCTGTGTCTGAGCCCGCTTGGCACTGCGAGCGCTCGGGTTGGGCGCCTCGCCGCATTCGTTGTTGTCAAGCTGATTGGGTGACAGCTTGCGCTTATGCTGATCACAACCGCCATGGAAGGCAGGGGTAATGGCGCCCGTGTCATCGGTCGCCGCTGGCAGCAACATTGCCGATGCATTACCGACAACAGCACCGCCGTCCCAAACGCCTTTATCAGGAAAAATTTCAGACTTATCTTGCTGTTTTTGTGTTTGTTCGGCGTTCAAGTCGTTGCCTTTTGCGTGTTTGTCTATGGAAGGACCGGTCATACATTCTGCTATGCCGCGTTGACTCACGGGCTTGACCTTCTTACGGCCCCTCATATCTATATTATGATCGATAATACTAAGTTCCGCACACTACGGAGCAATCTGGCAGCAATGGACGTTTTTGGCTTAAGGAATGAAAATGTACGGATCGGCCTCACTTTGTTCCTTATTTCCAAAGGCCAAAAAGGCCTCTTTATTCCTTAAAAGTAATATATTACTTAAAAAAAACACTGCCTCAAATGCCATGTCTGTCTCAACAACCAGCCCTGCATAGCGAATGCTGTATAATACGACAGGGGCACGCACGTATCCTGCTTTCCATTTGCGCATTATCCGCCTTAACTTAGGCGCCGGGGTTGCCTTGTAGACCTCCCTGCCTGCTGGTTTATCGGAGCCGCTATCCATCGCTGTAATTCGGCACCCCGTGTTTGTCAACACCTCTTTTTGGCATGTGGTTTGTCGTGACAGGGGGCCGTGGTGTGCGGCAGAGTCGGAGTTCGGAGTTAAGGGTTGCGGATCCGGAGGTGAGAAGCTATATGGCGCCATGCTGGCGGTGTTGAACGCCGCCACGGCAGTGGCAGCGCCGAAAGGCAGCGACTGGGGTGGCAGTTATGGCGACAGCAGAAAGCGGAGCAAACCGTGGGGCACGGCCCATGGGGGGCACGGGTTTGCGGCCAACACGGCCAACACAAGGAAACACCCATCTGTGGCTGCAGGGATCATCGCACAAAGGACAAGATGGGCGGCGAACGGCACTAATACGGCAGTTGTGGGTATGCTCGTTCTGGAAGTGCATGCGTTACTGCCTGCTCGATGCCAACAAACACATGCAGCGCCACAACATTGACCTCCCGTACCACGGTGGTGGTGGTGGTGGTGGTGGTGGTGGTGGTGGTGGTGGTGGTAAAGACAGTTGCAGCTGCCGCCAGGTCGCCTTTGTCAGCCTCACCATCAGTGCAGCCGTAAGGAACAGGCTCATGGGGACCTTTCCTGCTTTCTCGTGTGCTTGGTTATTCATGTGCGCGCCAGTGCATTACGTTGTGTCACTTGGTGTTGTGCGCAGTTTCTCCTCCAGCCATGTCGAGTGATTTTGCGGAGTTATCGTAACATGTCGTCCTTGCGCTTGCGTCACTGGCAACAAGGCAAATACTGGCAACAAGAAAGACGTGTCTGGGTACGCGCGTCTAAAGCTTGCCTGAGCGCTCTTGTCTCGTTTCTTCATTACCCCCTGACTGCGCAACCCGCCCGTCACGAAACCTTTGCCGACCCCCTTTTACCCTAACACATCCAGCCTGCCAACCATGAAATCGTGTCTGCCAGTTCCCCGGATAGATATGGGCCGCGGATGTTGAGGTCAACAGCCACGAGATAACCATGCCAGGAACACCGCTTCACGAAGACTTGTTTTAGGCTGATGCACCGTCTTCCATTTTTCTAACTTTATGGTCGACGCAGCCAGCAAATTAGTGGCCAAAAGAATTTCGTGACTCGCGGCATCGCGGAAAAATACGTACGGCGCAATGTACTTTCATAACAGTGTTGTAACACAAAAATATCTGTCGTGTTTTTGTCAGAACGCTCATCGCGTGTTCCGTTGGGTACAGCTTTGGCTCAAGGGTAACCCGGTGGCGGTTGACGGATATACCGCCGTACAAATAGCGATAAAGTCGAACAGCCGTCGAACCGCGTGTCAGCACGTGATGCTCTGATCACTGCTGCTCTGCGCCACTACCGCATTACGGCCCTCATCATAACCACCACAAACGGCTCCATTAGATGTGGTTCAGATCCAGTCACCGTCCACACACACCGACCAGTCCGGCAGATGACATACCGACATACATGTGCAGCGAAACACATGATTTTCACAGCAAATGTAGCGATCTGGGTTTTGGATCCCGGTCCTCCCCATAACCGTTCCTGGTCCATGATTCAGGACGTTTACCCCCTAGAAACTAAGGCTGGTGTTGTAGGGAGGTTGGTTCGCAAGGAAGTGACTGCTAGGGTTGATCTCAGGCCATTTGGTTATTGCAATGGGCATCTGTGACTGTTGAGGCGAGCTGTTGCAACCCCAACCAACACACATACCCCTCCTTAGGCCCCCTCTCCTATCGTATTCTCTCTGTACCCTCTCTACCGTGGTCTCTCAAACCCGACCCAGGCAGTAACCGGGATCTTGCATGCAACCAGATGGCCGTAAGAGCCCTACATTTACATTTTCGGTGTCAGCCGCGTACGGTATGGGCGGTGTGGTGGGACGACCGTGTGTCGGTGTACTGGCGGTTGCAGAGGCGTCAGAATCTGCGGAAGAGCTACAGCTTAAATGCGGGGAGACGGCTCACCGGCATACATGGGGCAGGGGAAGCAGAAGCGTGAGGGCGTGATTCCCCTCCTGCTGGTGCAGATGCTCAACCACCATACCAACACACACACACACAGGTTGGGCAGTACTGGTAAGGCACTACTGATAAGGCACGGACCATTGCCCCTGGATTATCCCGGGATCGAGACTACGTTGAGACGGCAATTCGATCGATGGTGGATATCTCACTAGTCAATGGACGGCGATGACGTAGTATAAATGAAAGAAGTGGGGCTGCCATCCATCTGACAGATACTGGGGATGGGTGCGGATCCTAAGCGTTCCTTCACTAAGAAGATGACTAGGGTGACTATATGAGGGTGCCCCGAAATGCCGGGAAGGCAGGGTTTCGCCAGGTAGCGGCCACGGGTGAAGATATACCCCCCTGTCCCACACATTGCACATCATACACACAAAAAAACGCCTCATCAGAGGTCCTTCAACTTGTAACGTAATCCTTCGACAGTGAATGGACTCATGCAACGCAAACCGGCGGGTCTCCATGTTACGGAATTTCGGAATACGGTGCACGATTTTGGTTATCCCGTGTGGTGCACTTCTCTCCTCCCCACGTGCAGATTGGGCCCCCCCAACCTGCAACCTGCGCCTCCCTCCTCAACCCACCCCTGTAAGACATCTGCCCTATGATAACGGCTATGCTATCAGTGCCTAATAATGGAGTAGGTGGGTGGTGTGGGGGTGGGTGGGGGAAAAGGGTCCTGGTGCTGCACGTCCACGAGTACAATGACAGTACAACCGTTACTTCTCGACTGTCAGTTTACATGTATTGCATAGTTCAGACGAGCGGCATTTCACCGATATCTTGGTAAATACCTGCATCATCCAAGACTGTCAAGATTAAAGACTTCCATGTATGCCCCCAAACCGCATCATCCAAGGCTGCCAAAAATACATTGCGCTACTGCGATAGTCACATATGCTGCGACTATTAAGGCAATACCATAAGGTGTTCACTAATTTATAGTTCCACTTGATGTTTAAAGCCTCCTAAAGTTGCTCCTTACGCAAGATATGGCCACGTTCGAGACCGTGACGCCTGTGCACGCAACATGGTCATGTACACCCTTAGGTGCGGCGTTAAGAACTGCTTTAAACGACGTGAAAGCTCCACGTGTACGATGCCAAACAGCACAGGACCCCGCAGACCGGCACAACTATAGCTCCCATAAGGGACAGGCAGAACAACGACGCATCCCCTATGGCGTATATGGGTTATATTGCCTGCTTATTGGTGCACCATCAGTGTACCACGCGAAACAGCTAGTTGGTGTACGACACATGCGGTCGCCATAATGGCCGCGAGCCACTGCTCCACTGCTGGGTTGATGGCCACTGGGCGTATTCCCCGTTGTCAGGAGAAAAAGCGCCACAGCTCCCGCAGCTGCTTCGCAGCGATGCAGGTGTATGGCTCTCCAGCACCGTCCTACAGTGGGACAGGTTCATGGATCCGTCATGGATATGGGGTAGGCCTCGAATGGGTCTTTGGATAGGTATCCTACAGGCTTCCCAGTCACAACCACGCCTTCAGACACGCCAACTTACACAGTGGACGTCTGGCGATCGACATCCTCCACTAAGTCCAACAGTTCCTCGACGACCGCCTTGACGTCGGAGTTGATTTCCACGTTGGGCGTGTAATCGCTGTCTAAAGGGCAGCTCGCTGAGCAAGGGATAACGGCATGCTTCAGCAACGCCTCAGCTGCCGAGCATCCCTCGCTCTGGGCAGAGCCCTGCAGACGGGTTATTGATAGATGGCGAAGTGGCTATTTTAGCAGTATCAACTTTAGATCCGTTTCTCCAATTCCGGTTCCACTCAGGGCCACTCAGCGTCAGGACCATGGATAATCCCCCATGCCCTGCAACAATCCCTGTCCATCCAGAGGTTTCAACCCCTGACATTTGTAAAAGCCTTCCCGAAGTAAAGCTTGCAGCTTACATTGGTTGAGACAGACAGTACGCCACATAACCGCTGAACGGTCTCCAATCACAAGCATTAATGCATTCTTTACCGACTTTTATCTCTCTCGCGAGCGCGTGGCGTGCCACTATTGTGCCATCGCACATCCTCACCTCATCCGTAATGCTGCCTGTCACCGACTCGGAGTCCAGTCCCACGCACACCCACGTTAGTTCGCAGTTATTGTCCACAGCTGCATCGACATGGAAGTCTTGGTCAGTGGTATGCATGCGGGCAGCCTCGAGGGCCTCCACCCTGGCTTGCCACATTGCTGTTTCTTGCTGAGCTAGGTACAGCTGGCGGCTGACAGAGTTGATCAGCAGGCCAGCAAACGAAAGGCTTGATTGAAAGCTAGTCAGAACACACGCCGACGACGATGCGCCTTCAGCGTGCAAAGAGGCTACATAGGAGTCGATGTCTTCGGGCAAGGGAAGTTGACCATTAGCCCATACGTCCCCGTCAGCACTGGCGGCTGCAGCCGCGCCACTGCCGGAGGTGTGCAGGGGCGACGTCATTTGGACCGGCACGAGCAGCGCTGGTGATGGAAAGCCATTGGCTAGCTGCGATGAAGCGCCATCTTCACTGTCAGGCACGGGGCGATCCGAAGCAATGCGGCTGCCTATGCTTGCCCAGCTTCCCCCCTCACTAACATCATGGCCGCCAGTTACGCAGGTGCCAATGGAAGGGTTCGAGCCATTGTTGGGCATAACAGACACGGGTGTGACTGCCGTGTTGTACGCTAGCGCTTTGCAGGCGCCGGTCGATGCCGTGTAAGAATGTGGTGCCAAGTCCAAGTCGAGAAGCTGCACGGCAATTGAATGAAGGTCGCTCTGTGCTGTGCTCAAGGTTGACTCATCGCCTGCACAAGCTGCCAGGACGACCTTCCTGGCACAATCCTTAAGGCTGGACAGCAGCATGGACGTAGCAGCTGCAACGGCTGCATATTCCCGCCCGGGCTCCTGTAAAGACAGGCGCAAGCCTACCGTCTCTTCAGCAGTTGTTGGCGAGTATGAGGGCTCTGCGATAAGGGGGTGACAAGAAAAGCGGGGCATGCGATTCACATTGGGCAACGTTTCTTGGGACAAGTGCCGCAGGCTTCTACGCACATGAACCACCCATGTACAACCCTAAGCTGCTAGGGCAGCATGAAAAGGCCTTGGCTTCCAGTCTACAAACCCAACCGCTATACTTGCCGGAAGTGGCTGACGGTTGACATACGGCAGGGTCATCACGCAGGAGGCTCCTGACCACACTTTCTGCCTCAGACGAGATCAGAGCATCGTCCATGTCCTCCAGACCGAAGGCTGATGCAGGGGCTTTGGAAGCCACGGGCGGCCAGGTCGGGGTTGCCTCCTCGCTCCCTTTCTGTGTGTCCCCGGCCTGCACTTGTAGCCTGCTGGCTTCTGAACTGTTGTTGCCACGAGGGACCGACATGCCCGGATAGAGTACATCCATGTGAGGCGGCTTCATGTTGCCATTGCTCGGGGCTGGCTTTCGCGATGGAAACCGCAGCTTCACGTGTCGGCGTGGGACTCTGTTACAGACTTCCTTTTCAGGCTGGGCCACTGTCCCCTTTACCACTAAAGGGATGGACACCACCTCTTCGCCATTATCGTCAAAGCGGTTAAGGTCGAAGATCGTTGTATCACCGTCGCTGGCATGTGACGCAGAAGACGAGGCAGCGTTGCCCTTGAGCAGGCGCAACGCCGGCCAAGGAGTTGAACCTTCTACGTGCGTGATACGGGCACCATTTGCATGTCTGGATTCCACCACAGGGTAGCATGCTCCCAAGGGAACATAACTTTGACCCCCCACGCTTGCTTGGCTGCTGCCCCAGCTGCAAGCGCTCCTACTGCCTGATTGAGCGTTCGTGATAATGGTGTCATCAGCATCGGCTACTTCCACTGCAGTTTGCTCCAGTACAGCGACGTCCGACGTGGCAGGTCCTGCGAAGCCAGGCAGACACCCGGCCGAATTCACAAAGTGTGGAGAATCTTGATCACCCGCGATTTCAGAGCGAGCCGGTTCTAAGGCCGCGAGTGGTCGAAAGCCAGGAAATCGAATGGAAGGTTTGATGTGAGCCGGCGTCGCCACGTTCAGCAGTGCCACCGTACCAGGGCCACGTAAGTAGGCAACACCGTGCGGCTTGATTGACTGTGATGACGCACAACGTAGCAATATGTTGAAGCTATAATGCGGGGCAGTTTTCTGCTAAGCAAAAAGATAAGTTTGAGTTGTTTTACTTGCCACCATATTGCCCAGACATGAACCTACAAGAATCAATAAATCAAGACGTGAAGGCTAATTCAAATAATTTCCGGGCTTTAAATCCAAGGCGCTATTGCTGCTAATCCTGTCGACAACAGGCTGGTCAGGTGAAATCCTTAAAAATTACCTGCAGTTCCAACTTGTGGCCGCTGAACGCCAGGGACTGTCTCCGTGGGGACGCAACCGTCACCGGCATGCTCTTCGGATGCTGAGTCAATGGCATTCACAACCAGAGCTTCCAGCGTGCCAGGCAAGGGAATTTCGTCATGCACCGCTGTGCCAACGTTGTCGGTAAAGGCATTGCCGAAGTCTAGGCACGACACCACGTTCAGCGCCAGAGACACGCTCGCTAGAAACAGTGCCTGTTAAACAGCATGCGCCCGGAACAAGTAAGAACACATGTCAAAGGATCTCCATATGCTTCCCCCAAGCATTTTCCCAATAATGCTTGGGCACTAACATGCGGCGCAACAGCAACATGCACGATTGCGCCGACTCGCTATGGCATCCTGGGTGAACATAACATCACATGGTGTAGTATGGCGCCATCACTTTTTAAAAAATATCGTTGGCAGTAAAAAAATGACATGGGGCTAAACCCACTTACCACGAACAGTAGGGAGGTTAAGGCTATCACCATTTTTGAGGTTGGGTTCGGTGCACCAATCAAGTCTGGCATGGCGGAGTGGCTCAGCACGGCCATAGGACTCGACGCAGCGATGGGGCTTGGTGCAGGACTCAATGTAGCGATAGGCCCTGGTGCAGAGGTAGGACTTGATTCGACCGAAGGGATCGGTCTTGTCTCGTTACATGCCATAGCTCCCAACGCCTTCCCAACTGCCAAGTTCACGGTGCGACTAACCGTAGGCAGCTCGTTGCAACGGTAACGCAACGCCAGAGCGCACGCCGATGCTGGTGTGATGTCAACTGACGACGCGGCTGCAATCTGGTAAAACACGGGAACACCAATCGTGCCCGTGATCATAAAGCAAACGAAATAGCACCAGTGCAACGGTCATTCAGGTCCAGCGCAACTAATGCCTGCATCTTTCGCATCGCGAATGGCGGAATCTTAAGTGTATCTTTGTCATCAGACACGTGAAGTGCAAGATTTCATACGCGTACGTCAGCCAGGCAAGCGGTGCGGATACCGTGTAGTGGACCGAAGACATCGTACGTTCCACCGTACAAAATGCCATCCGAAACCAGATAGATACCTCGGTACGGCTCACCCACAATTGGCGGACAACCAAAAACTTGCATACTGGTAAGGGAAGCATCTCGTGTCCATCTGAGGCCGGGTGTAAGCGTTTGGCAGCTAGTGCTGTGCGAACAGCGGAACGCACCTCGTTGGCCGCCAACTGAGCCGCCATCGCCGGTGGTTGGCGCTCTTGTGGGGGGTTTGGTTCCAAGCTGGCTTCATCGTTACCTATTGCAGGCTCGGACGACGGAAGTGGCTCCAGGCTACAAACCGAAACCGTGTCCACCGTTGCTCCTATGGCGTCCTGAAGAGTGTCGGCAACCATCACTGCAGCCGCGTCGCCAATAGGGTCACGCACAGTTGCGTAGTACTGGAGGGAACCGTACACCAGGAGCCCAGCACAGACGAGTCCCAGAATATACAGACCAATCCTTCGGGCGCCTGCAGTGAGCAAAGCACAGGGCGTCGTTTTGTGTCAATGGTTTGTTGGCGGAGCCCACCACTGTTTGGGTTTAAGGGCACAAACCCTAACGATCAATCCTTGATCGATTTTAGATTAAGAAGACAGCTCGTCTCATAAGTCTGTGGTTCGACAAATGTCTTTGCGAAGACTCACCTGAGAAACGCGCGCTCCGTTGCTGCTTCGCCATCTGCTGCACCATCCAGTTCTTAAACTCCTCTGAGTTCCTTAGTTGTCGCATGCAAAACTCCGTTGCTTGCTCCGCCCTGCATAGCGCGGCACAGCACTAGTGCTGGATACGAAGCCTCCTCCTCCGGAGAAGTTTCGCAATTTGCAAAACCTCTGTATGGCATCAGCACCAAGGGCCACATACCTCTGCGCCTCCATTTCAGCGCTCATGGGGCCTTGAAGGAAGGGTGGCTCCGACATCGTGTTGCTGTGTGCGTCTGACGTTGACAAGTGGGGATTTTGATTATAAAACAAGCATGCAGTCGTTTTATATTATCCAAGGTGTGGGTTTGCAAAGGAAAGACCGGCAAGAAACCTTAGTTGAAGGTTGGCTGTCATCGCTGTACCGTCGTACTGGATTTCTGAGTTAGAAGTCCATGTGCTCATCATGCATTAACATATGCAGAAAGGCGGTATCCCTTTTCCAAAGTTTTTTTGCCTTAGCGCTGGGGCGCTCTAAACTCTTCATATCTTTGGGTTTCAAACAAAAATCGCTGTTCGGCAGCGACGGCCAAGTGAGGCATGATAAATGCCGCAATAGTATATGCAATTTCATCAATCTGCCGCATACCAACATTACAGACAGCGGCGTAGGGATGCTGTCCGGTGCTTTGGAGCACTGCTCAGCAGCCTTGCTGTCGTGCCGCTATCCTGCGATGGGAACCAACCCGATTGTAATTTACTGAATCCCTGTTAAACAGCCGCTTGGTGTTTTAGGACCTGCACCGTAAGCGTATTCCATTTTCGGAAAATCTTGGTACAGACCAGGCAGTTAGGAAGTAGTAACCAAGGCTACTTGGGCCCGGGTCCCCTTGCGCCTCCCATACTGTGAAGTTAATGTCCCGCCAGGCATCGCAAGCCAGCCAACAGCGCATGCATCGGAAGTGAAACCGCACAATGCTAGGACACAAGACTCGTACCCCGTACAGGTGAACAAACGTTTCGCTACATGGTTCCTTAGTGTCGAGTAAAGTCGAGGCGCTTGGGGACCCGACCGGCCCAAGTCAGAACTTTGGTCCCTTTTACGCGCAAGCAGGGAGCTGGTGCTGCCTTTGGGGAGGGAGGGAGGACCCACCGAAGCCGACAAGTAAGGGCGACAGTTCTTACTGCGGTGGTGATATGGACTAACGTCTTCGCGAAGTTACGTACGAGCGCGCTTCACATGGAACATAAGCTATCAACAAATTTTACGTGCCTTTCACCAAACGCAAAGGCATACCCATGCTTACATGGGTTCCCATGACCGCTCTGGCTGAGCTGTCACTGTTGGAAATGATCGACACTCATATACCAGGGAATGGTAACCACAGTAATAGGACCCGGCTGGGGTCCGGCGCTTTGTTGGTATTAACAGTCACGCCCAACCCGTCCATCAGGTAAAACCCTGCAACGGCCCAGAAACACTTTCCACAGTATTTTGCTTGAAAAGCCACTATCATAGACGAGGCAATGGCGACTGCTTCTATGTTTAAAGTGTGTTTATATCCCCATGCCTTAACGGGGACCCTTTTCCGAAGCCTGTACGTCAGTCGCAAACGCAAATTTATCGACGATCACGATTTCGGGGCTATCCCGGGACTACTCCCGAGCTGATTGCGCTACCGCTTAATGTCCACGAATTATTCGGAACGTTAGCACAATATCGTCGTCTATGTTATGCATGGCAATCGTCGACTATTTCATGTATGTCAATATGCCTTAGCGTGATCATGGAGGCCCTTAATTGCAACATTAACAGAAGAGATAGGTGTTCGCGGAGAAACGAATGGAACTTCCTAGGCCCAAGGAACTCCCAAGGAACTTCCTCGGCCCGGAACTTCCTCCTTCCCCGGTGATTTCAACTGTCCTCGACCGGAAATCGTGTTCACGGCAACAACACTCCGGCGCCAAGTCCTAAATGTCCCGATATCCGGTGAACTACCCTCATAAACACAATGCCAAGTTGAGGAACTTGGCATTGTCCCGGTCCCCTTTTATGGACCGTCCCTCATGATACACGCCACAGCTAACCATGTGCTCCTAAAATAAGATTTATGATCCAAACCTTAAAGGAAACCTCGCGCGATGTAAGGTGATTTTTAAATCTGAAGACGTCATATCCCATATCATGTGGGATACACATCCCATATCATATGCCACATAATATGCCACGTATAATATGCCACGTATGTAGAATATCTCTGCCCATTCCAAACAAAGGGGCTATCGCCACATTATCTTCTCACAAACTCCGGTCTATTAAGATGATGGTCAATACGAGCGCCGCTTTCGTAAGTTACATGCGGATTGTCCCAAACTGCAAAGGGCTATTCCTAAATGGGAAAGGAAAGAAGATCAAGCCAACATGATCAACAATGATCAAGCCAACACTGTCGAATCGCGAAGGGCGAAGATTACATATGTAGCAGTACAGCAAGGAGGTGGACCGCGTCGCGCCGCCGATTCTCCACCATCGTCGTGCCACGCAAAACCACAAGGAGCCCACATTAGCGGGGCTTCCAACGCTGCTTTCAGCTGCCTGGCCGCAGTCCCCCTTCATCACCTCCCAGCTGACGGGGAAATTCACTATGGTAAAACCTCCCTCTTCAACACAAGCCCTGTCGATGGGGACGGTGAGGTGTAGAGGCGGGGCCGGCCATCATTCATGCCGCTGGGGTGCACCATCTGGGCTGGGGTGGCAGGCGATGCACTGCCAGGGTGCGTGTGCGGCTGCAGCAAGTACGACGACTTTTCGTACATTTGATACTGCGGTTGACGCGTGGGCAGCTGAGCAAACAGCGTCGCCGATGCCATTGGCGTCGCTGCCAAACTTGTCGGTGGCAGTAACGTTATAGAAATTGCGCTCGTACAAAGTCGCCGCTGAAACTGGCTTTCACCACTGATATCATGGGCGATGGGGCCGGGTAATGACTGTTCCTGCAGCATCGGCGGCAATGGTGGGCTGGACGGGGTACCCGATCCCTGTGGCGAGAACAACCCATTTTCGGGGCGCAGCGCATGGCAAGGGACTCAGTTATCGTAACAACTGCGCGTGATTGCGGACCATGGAAAGGCAGCACGACATGCCTGCCGTCTGGAATGGTTAACTACTTGCAATCCAACATTACCGAGCAGCCAGCCTTTTTGCCTCATCTTACTTAGGCTGGGGGCACCTGCAAAATGCTGATTGATCGCACTCTGTCATCCTTCATCTCAGCTCCCCGCTCATTACCAAACGGCTAGGCTGCCCTGACCGGTCGCCGTGCAAACCCGCTCGGCCTACACCATGTTCATTTCATCTTGATACCGGTCGTCAGTCCGTGCCATTCTGGTCACGCGCCGAGCCGAGCCATTCGCGTGCTACTGGCCCCAGGCCAACAGGCCAACATGTCATATAACCCAAACCCTCCCAGCCCAGCACACCTTTCCATGCAGCTCGGAGGCTGCTGTGTGGACAACACGCGGCCCCAGGTCGGTGGTGGAGAGTGGGACTGCAAGCGAGCAGGCATGTCGTGACATGACAGCAGGAAGGCATGAAGAAACATTCGAACGTCCGTGAGCAGCTGACGAACGTTCAGACAGGCAATGAACGGCTAGGTAGCAGGGGGCCCCAAAGCTGGCATATCTGGTCCAGTGGCTTTGGCAAGATACATTTTAATGTAAGGAAAAAATTACACCTCTTCCCTGCACGAGTTATCTGCAAGATTGTTAACAATTTGTTGTTAGCCGGCCAGTATTACGCTGTCGCGTCTCCATGCTATGCGTGTAAAAGCGGCGACACGACATTAGAATCCCCCACTCTAACGTCCCTAACTCACCGTCCTGAGTAGCCAATCCGTAGCCGTGGTCACTGTCGATGCTGAGCGGCTCAATCCCTGTTTGCAGCTTGCCTGACACCAGATCGGATGGGTCAGTGTGACTGGTGGACACAGTGCCCTCGGCGCTGCCGTTGCGGTTGAGTGCCGTTGTGACAATTTCCGCCGCCGTCGCCGTCCCCGTCTCCGGCAGCAATGGAGTTGTAAGCGTACCGGAAGTCGCCGCCATGTGACTCCCCGCCAAAGGTGGCGAAAGCGTTGCCTCTGCAGGTGCACCGCGAGTATGGGAGCTGATGGCGGCGACTGCATCACCGCCGGCGGCGACTGCGACGCCAAGCCCATCCGCTGTCAACGGCTCCGCCTTCACGAGCTTGTGCACGGGGTGGTGACCAGCCGTTGTCGCGCGCTCTGATCCGTCTGCCAGCCCGTGCCCCTTCCTTTCCCGAGGAGTAACCTTGGCAGGGCCCACGGTGGGCAGGTCGCCAGCAAGGCCGCCGACCTTGACGTAACAGTTGGCGTCGCCCTCATCTTCACTATCATCGCTCCCGTCTTTAGAGCCACGGGAATGGGTGGTGACGGCAGCGGCTGCCGCAGCTGCAGCGGCTACACAAGCTGCAGCCGCCTCCTTTGCAACCCTGGAAACTCTCGTAGCGGGTGACGGGGCGTCGTCGTACATTGCCATAAGAACGTCTCCAGTAAAACCAGAGCCAAAGTCCAGGCTCAATCCCACGTACATGTTCAGCATTGAAACACAACCTCTGAGCAGCACCTGTGTGAACACAATGCAGCATATTCAGCATCAATGTAAAAGCACATCGTACACCATAAAAGTGAAGATAATCCGAATTCTACGATAGAGGACCGCTGGCAAGCAACCAAACATTGCGATGTTTCACGCAATGACGAGCCCATGGTGTCGAAGCCCAGGGTTCTGCCCCAGCTGAAATGCCAGGATTGGGAGTGCCAGTGGCCAGGAATCCAAAGATTAGTTCACCCACACCCTAAAAACAAACTTGACATTCACCATCACACAGGATAAGGGGCCAAATCCGCTTACCACAAGTAACAGAATGGCAAAATAGAATTGGCTGCAGAGAGGCGATGACACTGAGCAAGTAGGGTTTCGTGCAGCAGTGGGGCCACTCGGCTTCGGTGTACAACTTGGTGTGAGGGTGGCACTTGGCTTGGGTGTAGAGCTTGGTATGGCAGCGGAGCTTGGTGTGACGGTGGCACTTGGCTTGGGTGAAGAGCTTGGTGTGGCAGCGGAGCTTGGTGTGACGGTGGCACTTGGCTTGGGTGTAGAGCTTGGTATGGCAGCGGAGCTTGGTGTGACGGTGGCACTTGGCTTGGGTGAAGAGCTTGGTGTGGCAGCGGAGCTTGGTGTGACGGTGGCACTTGGCTTGGGTGTAGAGCTTGGTATGGCAGCGGAGCTTGGTGTGAGGGTGGCACTTGGCTTGGATGAAGAGCTTGGTGTGGCAGCGGAGCTTGGTGTGACGGTGGCACTTGGCTTGGGTGTAGAGCTTGGTATGGCAGCGGAGCTTGGTGTGAGGGTGGCACTTGGCTTGGATGAAGAGCTTGGTATGGCAGCGGAGCTTGGTGTGACGGTGGCACTTGGCTTGGGTGTAGAGCTTGGTATGGCAGCGGAGCTTGGTGCGACAGTGGCACTTGGCTTGGGTGAAGAGCTTGGTGTGGCAGCGGAGCTTGGTATGACGGTGGCACTTGGCTTGGGTGTAGAGCTTGGTATGGCAGCGGAGCTTGGTGTGAGGGTGGCACTTGGCTTGGATGAAGAGCTTGGTATGGCAGTGAAACATGGCTTGGAGGGGGAGCTTGGTGCTTCGGAAGCGCTTAAATTTGATAAGTTTGGCGCCGTCTTTCCTCGTGCCTTGATTGCCTGGCCAAGGGATCGGGGGCCTAAGTGAATGCATGCGAACTGGTCCATTCGATTAATGGACGGCCGAAGGGGGTCAGTTCTACAAGGAGCTTTGTGCAAGGTTTCCTAGCTTTGTTGTACAGTAAGCCGTTCGTTGCCTGCAGCTTTCCCTATAATAATAAAACTATCGCAGAAAAACGAAGCATTAATGAAAAACAATTAGGTTTTGTATTTTGCTTGAAAACGAAACAAAAGAAAACGTACTTCTTACCAGCTGTTTTAGCTGGAACACATGAAGACGCATGGCATGAACGGAATGAATGCATGTAGATGTACTCGTTTGGCATGAGGAAGCTCAGCAAACTCATGTCGGGCTGTGCATGCAGCGAGATGCGTCTCGTTGCATGAGGCGCACCTCACGAGCCGCCAACAGAGTCACCATCACCGGTGGTTGGCTCGCATGTGGCGGACTGTATTCCAGATAGAAGCTACCTATCCCAGCGGGAAGTGGTGCGGGGCTGCGAATGGAAGCAGCGTCCGCCGTCGCATCGACGTCGTTCAGAAGGTTATCGGCAACCATCACTTCAGCCGCGTCGTCAATTGAGCCACGTACAGTCGCGTAGTACTGAAGGGAGCCGTACATTAGCGAGCCAGCAAAGATGAAGCCCAGAATATATAGACCAGTCGTCCAGTAGACTGAGGTCAGCAGCAGGGTACCATTGTGTTACAAAACTATCTGTGTTTAACTTGTAGAACACACCAATGATTGGATTCCTTTAGGCATAAGGGAAAATTTACATCATCTTAAGCAAAACGAGCTATGGACCGGTCTGCGTGTACGTGAGAGTTATGGAACGGGGACCCCAAAACGAACGGTGCAAGGCCTCACAAGGGGAACGTAAACCCTCCCCATCAACATCGCAGCAGTTTGCAATTTTGTTTGGTAGTGCTTCAGCAGCTCAAAAACGTTCTGATGAATGCTTGGCAAGCTGGGCGTCTCCCGCACGAGAATGGCAGATGTGCAGATGACCTATGCCAGAAGTGTATGCCGGAAGTGTCAATCAGCACCCGTAATGGCATTCTTGTGGAAACGTTGTATCGAGACACCCACTGTCCTGAAGGTTTGAAGCGGCCATGTGCAGCTGTACGAAGCCTTATTGTTAGGTACCATACTGGGGGATACCCTCATAACCGTAGACTGCAAGGACATGTAAAGGTATTATATCATAAGATCCTGCTAGCGTAGTTCCAGACCGGCTTTGAAAGACGCGTTCCGCAATCCTACCGTTTGCAAACTCAGACAATTACTTGGGCAAACGCAGACAATTACACGTGCACTATTACGTTGGACGTGAGGTGGCGCACTGCTCAAATGGGGCCGAGAGTGAGTTTGACAATGACAGCTGGTCGTTACGGGCGCAGTCGCCAAGCTAGACGACCGCTGCCATTCCAGTTTCTCAGGAGAGAACCGTTCGCGATCAAGTTCGTGATAAAGCAAAAAACTGCGCAAACCGGCTGGAAGAAGTCTTCGACCTTGAGCATCCACCGGAGAGCTTCGCCGGCACTGGGCTCATTAAGCAGCATACTGGGGCCATATTGTTTTACACAATTCCAACACAGGAACAGGGTGGTAGTTCGCCGGTATGGGGCCTTCAAGAGGCCTCAGTTCGACGGGGTAGTGAGCCAGCTCGCAGACAGATCGTGCGCGCAGCTGGCCCTGCTCAGCCCTCCCGCGGGTGTTGCTTTGCGCGCTACGGAAATGCTCCTCAAGCGCCGGCTTGAGAATCGTACTCCACGCAAGCCGCCCGACCTTCCGCCAAAAGTTAGACGGTGGCATTGCGTGTTGACCCTTTAAGGACCGCCTAGCGCGCAAAGCAACTCCCGCGGGAGGGACAGCTGTGCGCACGATCTGTCTGCAAGCTGGTTCACTACCCGGTCGAACTGAGGCCTCTTGAAGGCCCCATACCGGCAAGCTACCACCCGGTTCTGCGTTGGAATTGTGTAAAAAAAGGATGGCACCAGTATGCTGCTTAATCGGCCCAGTGCCGGCGAAGCTCTCCGGTGGATGCTCATGGTCGAACACTTCTTCCAGCCGGTTTGCGCAGTTCTTCACCTTATCACGGACTTGATCACGGACGGTTCTATCCTGAGAAATGGGAATGGCAACGGTCGTCTAGCTTGGCGACTGCGCCCGTAACGAGTCATTGTCAAACTCACTCTCGGCCCCATTTGGGCAGTGCGCCACCTAACGTCAAACGTAATAGTGCACGTGTAATTATCTGCGTTTGCCCAGATAATTGTCTGAGTTAGCAAACGGTAGGATTGCGGAACGCGTCTTTCAAAGCCGGTCTGGAACTACGCTAGCAGGACCTAAATCCCTTACCTTATGATGTCATAAATCTACGCGTTGCTCCGTGCCTTACGCTATACGGCTACCTAAGCTCGGAGCGTGGTCTGCACTTTTATTACAAGCAATTAAAGAATGTGTCTTCCCGCCGTCACTTAAAGGAACCAAAGTACAGTTCCGTAAGTACGACAAATAGTCCTCAAGACAATAGTAGAGAGGTCTGACCAGAATAACGTGCGATTCACAACATGATATAATAGCTTTACATGTCCTTGCAGTCTACGGTTATGAGGGTATCCCCTAGTATGGTACCTAACAATAAGGCTTCGTACAGCTGCACATGGCCGCTGGGTATCTACATACAACGTTTCCACAAGAATGCTATTACGGGTGCTGATTGACACTTCCGGCATACACTTCTGGCATAGGTCATCTGCACATCTGCCATTCTCGTGCCGGAGACGCCCAGCTTGCCAAGCATTCATCAGAACGCTTTTGAGCTGCTGAAGCACTACCAAACAAAATTGCAAATTGCTGCGATGTTGACGGGGAGGTTTACGTTCCCCGTGTGAGGCCTTGCACCGTTCGTTTTGGGGTCCCCGTTCCATGACTCTCGCGTGCACGCAGACCGGTCCATAGCTCAGCAAAACACGTGCTGGATACGGAACATGGCCTTGTAAAGACTCACCCGAGAAACGCGCTCGCAACTGCTTCTTCGCCATCCAGCTCTTGAAGTCTTTACTAGCACGAAGCTGCTGAAGGCAAAACTCCGTTGTTTGTTGCATCCTGCGGAGGCGGTATAAGGATACGGCTTAGTGACAAGGTATCCGGCCCCCTACCTCATGTGTCATGATACCCCGCAGGCAAGACCCTTAAGCAGCGCCCCCTGTTCTAAAATGTATCACTCTGCATAAACAGACACAAACCTTTGTATATCTACTTCAGGGCTCATCGGGCCCTGAAGGAAGGGTGGCTCCGACATCATGAGCTGTGTGTGCCCGATGTTTGCAGGTGCTAATCAGATGATGGTAATAAATGAAGACGTATTAGCTCAGGCATTTGTGAATTTTTAAACAACAAACTAGCAAGGAAGCTTTGTTAAATTTGGGCTGTCAGTGTCTTACTGTCGTACTAGATTTCTAAATTGAAAGTTCACTCTGCCGTTGCCTTTAAAGTTATACTTACGTAGTGATATGACATTTTGAACTTTGAAGCATATCAGTTGGTTGACTACAGCACCTTGGCAGCCGCGAAGATGCAGCATTTTTAGGCTCACATGCATCATATTACCCATGTCTCTATGTCGCTTATGGCATGCCGGAAACATGATGCTTATTAAACCTACCAAAGAGACTTACGGCTTACATCTATCCTACAAGAATCCGCTTCTCGCAAGGTGCTGGGGGCTAGCCATCAACTGTGCAGAGGGCCCAATACCGTTCCGTGCACACGCGTTGCTTGTATTGAAGCGGTAAAAGGATACGAATGAAGTTCGCCATGACGTGGTTTGCGTTGCTGTTGCTCAGAGCTGGCTGCGGTTAGCTCATTCGGCGTACACCTAACAAGTGCGGTTAGCATACTAAATGCGCTAGCTGGCCGTCAGCTTGTTACAGGTAATACATCTACTGCGTCAGCTGACCCTCCGACAGCCGTCAACCCCAGGACGACAAGCTTTTTTCCTGATGAAACCCCGCGCGCGGCTGCAACCCCCAGGGCCGCCCTGCCGCGTGCCGCAGTATTGCGCATGCATTGCTGTTCGTGAAGCGAAATGGCGCAATGCAGCTCATCTTCCGAACTATACCGGACAGGAAGCAAGATGCTTGCACATGAGAGAAACGTTTTACCACACAATACGAGACTGCCGCACTAACGGACAAAAATGGACCCTCAAGCGTTTAATGATGACCGACAAGCGCATCGAATGACAGGGGCTGACATACAGATGCGCGAGTCCAGCCCAAATAAACAACCAAGCAAATGCACACATGCACGCGCGTTCAACCCAGCTCGCATACACACGCCCATGTACACTCAAAGCGCCGTACTTAGCCATCGTATTTGCCTGGGAACGCTACAAACCAAGTTCCCAATCCGTCAACAGCTTGCTACAGACCTAGCAGCAATAAACAGACAGACAAGAAGACCCGTGCGCGCACAGGCGGGAACTCTCCGCAACGTTCAAAGGTTGGACCCGGCAGCGAGCATAGCAGGGTCACTATATCCGTTAGTATCCGTTCTCACTGTGGTTTGTCGCATTATGAAGCCGTGCCGGGACAGAATCGGACGGCGCTGGTGTGCTCGCAGCGGCGGTGCACAAAACGCCAAAGGTCACAACACGCATTTATACCCAAAGGCAGCAGGGTGGCTAGTTTCAAGGAAAGGGGAGAGATCGCGAAGAAACAAGAAAATTGGGTCGACAAGGGAAGGACGAGGAGAAGCAGTTTCATAAGACGACAAAGTGATGAATTAATCGGGACGAA